CCCCCTTAAACCCTATTTTTCCCCCCCCCCCCCCCCCCCCCCCCCCAAGTCCCAACTCTCCCGCCGCTGAACTACTGGCTGGACTGGACTGGTGGAGGCACCGATACCGTCATCGTGGATGGGCCTGATCGGACGGGGTTCGCTGGGAACCACGATGCCGGTCTCCATATTTCCAGTGGATTCGAGGCGCAGGAGGAAATCCCTCCTGTTACCATTAAAGACCGACTCGGATGGGTCTGGATCGAACCGTTCTGCGGCCAGCCCTGTCGCCACTATCCCGAGTTCACCGGCCAGTTCTTCCTCCGTCACCGTCGAGGGGGACCACAAGCTGTTCTCCCTTTCCAACCTCAGCCACAGGACAAAAAGGTCTCACAGCAGCCGGGACTCGTCCGTATTCGAGTACAGCGTCACCGGCCCTGCCCCCGGCAACAACAACAACAATAACAAGAACAACAACAACAACAACAACAACAACAACAACAATAACAACAACAACCATCATAGCAACAGCACCAGCAGCAACAGCAGCGCCAACCATAACCCGCGACCCTTGAGCTTTTCACATCGGCGCAAATTGTCAAAGTCACGGCCTGTCTCGGCCCCCTTCGAGGTGATGAATCGCCGAAGCTCCGGCTTCTCGGACGACTATAGTCGCATGTCAGTCGCCGACACCCTGAGCACATGCACAACGAGTCCGGCCGCTATCGAATGGAAGTCCCAGGATGTCGAGGGCTTTTCGGCTCTCGAGACCGACACCAAACTCTTAACGACAAAGACGCCTTACCTTGTCGTTACCGCAGACTATCTCGTCAAGGTTAAGAACCGCGCCGATGTCTTCTCCCTGTTCCCTCAGCTTCAGAGCGATGGCCAACGACCAGCGAGCTTGGGCCCCCCGCCAGAACCTATCCTCGTCATCCCGACTACCTCGATTGTATCCGTATTTGTGGCTGAGAGCACCAAACCGTCCTTTGGTCTAGAAGTATGGTGGAAGGCACAATCTGGGGTCTCCTTCCTTCATACAACCTTCCACTTTGACCTTCCTACCGACAGAGATGAGCAACTATACAATGTTGTTCAGACGATCCGAGGGCCCCATATCGAGGACGAGGATTTTGCGCGTCGCTCGGTCGAGGTATCCGAGCTCATCAGGACGATTCAAGAAACCGAGGAGCCCAAGTTTATCAACCATAATCTGCAAATATTTCCCGTAGTACCACGAGGCATCACCCGAAAGGAGTCTAGCTTCAAGCAAGAGGATGACCCCAAGAAGCCACAGGAAAGCCCCGCTTTCTACCTGGTCATTGGACCTCATCTCTGTTATTTTATTGAGCTGCAGAGGGGCAAGAACGGCGACCTGGTTTGCAAGCACAAGACTTTTGGTCTAGTAACCCTGGAACTCTTCAAGGCCGACTGGACCATCCACCAAGAAAGATTCAACATCACCTTCCGGTAAGAACACCTAATCATTGCCTTAGCTTCGAAGGGCCCTCATCTCACTGACGTGTATCTAGGGATCCATTCCAACCACCAGTCACACTGGAACTCGCGAGTCGCTATTACCGCCACATCATTCGCGACTTTTGTGCTGTCGACCGCTTTCTGAAGCCCGCATGGCCGCAAATCTGGCAGAGCCGTGAGATCTTCCACGTTACCGGACTCAAGGAGACACATCTCGTTACCGCTGGTGAGGACTTCGGAAGCGTCAAGAGGACCCTGGATGCCTATCTAGCAGCATACCGATGCCCCGCGGTCGATTGGGAAATCAACTGGAAGACCAAGTTCGCCCCCGAGTTTCGCCTACTGCCCGCCAAAGATGGGAACAGCTACTCACCACTCCAACTGCTGGCTGTCTTGCGCGCCTTAAGATACAACGACTACTTCAACTCGCTGTCGTTCCGTGATGTCGACCTGGGTGTGCTGTGGAGCGTGAGCGATCAGCATGCGAGACGGGGAAATGTTGCCTGGCTGAGCCGGACTTGTAAGTTTTGCCGGCTTGATTATCCTTAACCGTTATTGATCACTGACTTTGTTCCCATAGTGGTTGCACTGGGGACTGAGGAAATCGAGATCCTCAATATCAGCCCCGTATTGCACCAGGAGTTCCATGCGCTTGCCTTTTGCTCGGAAAACATTCGCCAGATCGACTTTACCAATGCTTCCAAGTCTTATCCCAACAAGGTCTCAACGAGCGGACAAGATACGCCCAGCCTTCAGTTCCTCACGCCCGTTCTAGAGCTGCTCAAGGCCGGCATCACACGATGCAATCGTCTGATTCTTGCCGGTAACCTGCTGCTGCAACCCGATCTCGCTGAGCTGGCTGTGGCACTGAAAGCTGCCCCTATTCAGGCACTGGATGTCTCCTATTGTGGCTTGGATGACATGAGTCTGCGAGACTTGATTATCACACCCCTTCTGGATGGACCTCGGATGGTGCAGCTCCTGGATTTGTCCGGTAACCCCGGGCGCGTGGCGTGCCAAACCGTTCCTGATCTGCTATACAGTCTTTCGGATCTGAGGGAGCTGAACCTTGCTGGTAGCCTTCGGGGAGAAATGGCTGGACCGTTGCTCCCCATCGAGGCACTTGAGAATCTCCCGGGCCTAGAACTACTTGATGTTTCGAACTATGCGCTCAATCTCCCTACTTTGCGCGAGATTGAAGAGTTCCTGACATTGAGAGGTTCCAAAATTGACAACCAGGTTCCTGTGCGATTCCGCAAATTGGTATTGAACCGATGCGCCATCACCGGAACTAAAGCCGCCAGGCTATTCAACGCTATTGGCGTGAACCACGGACTTTATCTCTGTCTCAACGGCAACCCTGTTGAGGAGGGAATCGATGCTTTGTGCGATGCCATTCGTCAATCACAGACCCCGGCCGGTTTGAGCATGGAGATGATCGAGTTTCGGGAAGAAAGTCACTACCTGTCATTGATCAAAGCGCTCACAGACACCAGATATATCACCTCGTTGAGCCTTCTTGGAACTGCGCCCTCAACCCCGTCTCAAGGCACCTGCAGTCGTGAAGCCATTCGGGTATTTGAGCGTTTCTTCGCCGAAAACAGGTCGATCCGTTATCTGGACATTTCCGGCTTCAGCGGTAAACTCGACGATGGACAGCTCGCCAAGGGATTCGGTCGGTCCCTTATCGGCTTGACGCGCAACAAGACTCTGACCTACCTCAGAATCCGGAACCAGAACCTACATGAGGATGCAGGAATTTTGGGCAAGGTGATCAGTGAAAACAGACAGTTGATGTTGTTTGACTGCCAGGATAACAAATTTAACTGCACCAGCTTCCAATTCCTGGCACAGAGCATGCGGACGAACACCCAGATCATCGAATTCCCCGTGGAGAGGAGGGAGAGGGACGCCATCTGGAAGAACACCCTACAGGGCTTGAACAGAGGTCCTTATGGTCAGATATTGACCAGCACCACGGGAACCGGTACGGTACCCACCAAGGGCAAGAAGGGGAAGAAGCACGAGAGCCACAAGTCTTTGTCGTTGAGCAAGGCGACGCAACATGCCGCGGCCAACGGCAGCAGCAACCTGAAGGATCCACTGAAGGAGCAGGAGACCATGCTTCGTACCGTGCTGTCACGACTCTTCGATGAGCTCGACGGCTATCTCAGACGGAACCGCCATGCGCTCGAGGAAGCTTCCGGACAAGCGCTCGACTTTGATGGTCTTGCTTCTGACGGCCAGGAGGAGGTCTGGCCCGGTTCGCCCGTGGTCGTGGACGTTGAGAGTCCCCTTGACAACACGGGTAGAAACGCAGGAGATATGTCCCCTACCGAACAAGGAGCGGGAGGCCAAGGAGGACTGGCACCAGACACCGCGGCGATGCTCAAAGCACGTCGGGCAACTGTCCGCTCGTCCATGATTGCTTCCGGCAAATATAACATCGGAGCCTATCCCCCACCGCCCAGCCTGCCGCCACCCCCGATTCCATCCTTCTCGCTCTTCCCGGACATCAGCGAAACTACTCTCGATCCCGTCACCGAAGTTGACACACCCGTATTTGAGTTCCAGCGCGAATTGGGGCTGACCGCCGAGCCCGCCATTAACGGCAGCGGTGACGGAAACCCCATTTTCACAAACGAGATCAGCCGTAACAGCGGCATCTATGCCAACGGCACCGGCTACGGAAGCAGCGTAAACCTAAGCCACCACAGCGCCAGCAGCAGCCGTAGCGAGGACATCAGTCCTATGACGATGCCGGCCACGCCTAGCCCGCCCAACACGGCGCCGCCGCCAATTCCGAGAGTTCCAGTCTCCAGCAGGAATAGCTCGTTCACGCCGCCGTCTCCGCCGACTATGGCCGGCAACAGCGGATACCTCAGCCACCACAGCGCCAGCAGCAGCCGCAGCGAGGACATTAGCCCCATGACGATGCCGGCCACGCCTAGTCCGCCCGCCACTGCGCCGCCGGCGATTCCCAGGGTTCCGGTCTCTAGTAGAAATAGTTCTTTCATGCCGCCGGCGCCACCTACTATGGCTCCGCCACCACCGCCTAGGCCTGTGTCGAGTTCTACGTTGGCATCCGCATCAGCACCGGCTGTACTGGAGGCGACGGCCGCTAACAAGAGGGAAGGCATTATTGGTGTGAGTGAAGATGATTCTGCTCTTGTCAAGCTGCTCAGGGATTTTAAAGCTACTGGCTTTGCCTGATCTGTTCACATATTCACATCCACCAACATCTACCCATGATAATCCGCGCAATCTTGCGGAACTGGATGGTTCTCAAGTTGCACAATAAGCGGATTACAATAAAGAAACACAAAAATACTGTTCCCGGTGTGGGAGTCGGACAGTCACTGTACATACCAAAAAACACACCACCATTTCATTTTCACATACACATCATTGGCAGGGGAGTGAGCGTCGCTGAGACCCACGAGGGAAATTGCTCCGTCGAGTTTTCCTACTATATCTTTTACTACTACTACTACTACTACGACTACTACTGCAGTGTGTTTTTGATACCCCATACATACATACATACATACATTTATATATTGTACAGGCTAAGCAGGCAGACTAATTGAGCAAGCGAGCGGGTGGATGAGCAACCTGTGGAAGGGATGGTAGAAGGGAACAAGTGGGGTTTGATTCAGCGTGGTTGGATAATAGTTCTCCTTGGGAGGAAAAGGAAGTGGGAAAAAAGAAGGCTGTATATACAGAAGACGTACGATGAAATTGGTGGCTAGGGTGCGTATGTGGAGCGTATACGGAGGATAAAGAAGGATGGAAAGAAAGAAAGAAAGAAAGGGAACTGATTGAAAAGAAAGGCATTATTGAAAAGGTCGACTGGTCGGTCGGTTGGCTAATGGGGTATGGCAAGGCATAGTCGGTGGGTCGGTTAGGACGGCATGCATTGTATGTGGTTGAGTTAAAGGTATCATATGGATTGAAAAGGGACGGAAGGAAGGTTATCTCCAGGATAGGATAGGAGTATTAGGATAAAGGATACAGGAATTGTGATACTGGATAACATGCTCGACCACTGTTCAAGTTGTTGGTAAGGCGTCTTGTCTATGGGGTGGTTTGTGATGGTGAACTAGAACCCTTCAAGGCTTGTTGATATCATCTGTTGACTGTCGCCGATAGTTCTGCTGCATATCGGTTCAAGTTTAGGACCACAACTACTGGGCCCAATTCATCAGCAGCTCATCTGAAAGACCTGGTAGTTGAAGGTTATAGGGAGTATCCGAATATGTATGGACAGGTAAGGGCGTAAACATATAGATAGGGAGACGAGAAAGTACAGGTCTTGTACGTTAACCTCTCTTCACCTCTCTCTTCACTACCTCCACTGGATTCCAACAGTTCCCTTTACAGCCATCCCCCCATCCGGCGCCTCAATCCACACATCAACCCTCTCACTGCGTGCACCCAGACTCAAGCCTAAGCCCGCCTTGTCGCCGCCGCCGCCGCCGTCGCTACTCTTCTTCTCTCTATTCGGCAACAACCTCACACAAACCTTCATCTCCTCACCTACAAACAGCGGGCGGAGATTTTTGTACTCTATACTTGCAATCTCCCACCGCTTTTTCCTTTTTCCATCCGCTGTTTCTTCTCCCGGCGGGACAAACAACCTCTCCTTGATCACCTCGGAGACTCCAGAAGTCCCAACCGATGAGTTCGCCGCCGCTGCCGCCGTTGTCGTCGTATCAACACCTGTCCCAGTCCCAGTCCCAACCCCAGCAGCAGCAGCAGCAGCAGCAGCCCTTTTCAAAAATCCCTCCACCCCTCTCAACATAATCACCAACGTCAATGGTCCATGCACCAACCGCTCTTTATACCCCTCCACCTCTCTCGCGTACAGCGGGTCCAAGTGGATAGCGTGCGCGTTGAACGTCAGCGCGGAGAACTGAAAGAGCAAAGTGGCGTCTGGCGTCATTTTAAACGAGAAATCGGGTTGGTGAGGGACGCGGATGATCCTCGCTGGAGCTGGAGCTGGAGCTGGAGCTGGTACTGGTTCGAGTTTCTGTTGGGGATGATTTGTTGGGTTTGGGTTTGGGATTGGGCTTGGGAAAGGTTCGCTGCGCTCGTCGTCGTCGTCGGGGCGCTCACGGAGGAAGACGAGGCGGCGGAGTTCAGAAATTACGCCTTCTTCTTTGCGCTCTTTGTTGTGGGTGGTGGGGGTTGTTGATGAACTGTTGATGACATCTGCTACCACCCTTTCGACTTCCTTCGATGTTGCCTCCGGCGGGAAAGAAATATACCGCCTCCAAACATCCACATACACTTTCTGATCCTGCTCCTTCCCGCTGTTCCCAACCTGCAAAACAGGCGTCCCTAGCGTCTCAACACAAACCGTCTTCCTCCCGTCCACCTTGAACTGTTGTTGTTGTTGTTGTTGTTGTTGTTGCTCCTCCGACTCCCCTTTGCCGAAATCAATTCTCCCGCCCGCCCACATCCTCCTCGTAAAGGGGCCTCCAGGGCAATGGTCAGCGTCTGTACCGTCGGGGAAGAGCAAGTGGGGAGGGGTTTGGAGGGGGTAGTAAATTAGGTGATACCCCGGCGGTAGCTGGTTGTTTTCCTGGTCAGGCCATGGGAATATGGACTTGTTGGGGGAGGGGGGCTGAGCGTTAAAGCCCTGGGAAAGACAAATGCTCGGCAGGTGAGAAGATAAAGCGAGAGAGAGCAAATGGGATTGAGTGGGGTGGAGGGTGTCGGGGATGAGTTTGGGTGGGATGAGGGAGAGGGTTGTGGTGGCGGTTTGGAGGTAGATTTCGGGGTTGAAGGTCGATTGAGGTTGGGATTGGGAGGAAAGAGGTGATGGGGGAGTGCCCTTTTCGGAGGAGTATGGTCTTATGTGACTGCCATGGTGGGTTGTTATTCTTGTTGTAGTTGTAGAAAAGCGAGTTGCCAAGAGGACATGGTGGGTGAGGAATCTCTTTGTTGTTATGGCTCTAATGGTTGTGGTTTTCGTGGCGGGGGTGAAGAGCCTCATCGTGGCATCGGGACTGACTGTTGTCCAGTTCAGCAGTTGGTGGAAGTTTTGGCAAAAATGTGGTTCAGGTAGGACAAGATAATACTGGTTGAGAATCGTAAAGTCATGTAAGCTGTCACAGTCCCAGAGTTTCAATCTGTCATCCCCTCCGCCGTCAACTGTGCTCTGCTTCGCCTCAAATAGACAGTCAGGCAAGTGATAATGTTCATATGAAGTCCAACGTTGTCCAAGCAACGCAAAATCAACAAGACCCCATCCGCCAAGCACCACTCATTTGGTACATAGTCAGTAATTCCCCGTAACATACACTGTAACTTACACATACCGTATTGTAACCGTCCCGTCGGCTATCCAAGTGTCGACATCGCTACCATGTTCCGCCCCGCTTGTTCGCCCGGCCCATCCATCCATCCAAATCCATATCCATTATCCATCCCCTGGTCAACCACTAGCTTTGTGCACTTTGTGATTTTGCCCCTGATCCCTTCCCCGAGAATGGATTCCAGCTCCGTCCGGATGCCATGGGACTTTCTAAAAAGCTTGGCCCTTTGAAGGCTTCCCACTTCCCAGAATACGTGGTCTTGGTGTTTCTTGGTAACATCTCGACCATGATTATGATTTGGTAACCGTTGAATAAGTGAAACCAGACCGCACAATGTTTACCCCTGACCCTGTTTCCGCATATGGACGGGAGTCAGCGGGAGGACCCAAAGAAAGAAGCAAAACGTCTTGTTTTCCTTGGCATTCACTCCCGCTGCGAGGATTCGACAAAAGTTGTTGTTTGTCCTTCTTGGACTGTAACCAGTGATGTTATTGATGATGTTTTTGGTTCACTTGCCCTAAATGACATGTATTTTCTCTAGCCTTCGTCATGTCCATGTGGTTTTGTTTCTTCTTCTCTCCGAGACTTGGGCCTTGAACCTGTCCAGCCCGACTCCCAATCCCTAATTATTGACTCTTTCTTGTCTTTGATTGATATGCCACTTCCTGTACCTTTGCCACCGATCCCCTCACGGTGTGATCTCTTAAAATCTATAATCGCCAAAAACACCGAACATCTAGATGACTTTGAAAATCCATGTCTCCCATCGTGTCTACCCCTGACTCTTTCATTCGCGTCTATGGGTCAGTGGAAAATGGACCGACTGACAAGTATTACGCGCTAGCACGCAAGCAGGACAAAAGCAGCACAGATGATTCGTGTGCAATGGAAGAAATGGTATGTGATGTAAAAAAAGAGGAGGCCACCAGTCAAAGTCCCGGTTCCAATACAATGCTATACTTGAGAAAGCGAAAGAGGCCCCTCCATCCGCCCATGAAAACTTGCGGTAGTCTGGTCCGAAGAAAAGACGCACACACAATGCGGTAAGTAAAAACAAAAACGAGGGTCGAAAAGGGCAGTTAAATCAGTTACGGCGAGCCCTTGGCCCGAACTGAAAATGCATGCATGAGTGCTCCAAACTCCTATGCTGGCCAAACGCGAAACGAGGCATGATGTCATTACCTGAGATCTCTGCCGCCCACCCATCCCATCCCATCCGTCCATCCATCCATCCATCCAAATCATTCCCATCTTTCAGCTGCTCCTATCCTTCCTATTCTTCCTATCCTGCCCCCCGCCTCTTGCCTCTCTTACCACAAGTACAAACAAACGAGAGGCTTTTTTCTTTAGGGGGGGTGGGGGTTGTTGTGGTATGTAAGTAGGTGACTGTCGTCGCTGTGCTAGGTCAAGATGACGATCCTAGCATCGTTCGCTCGAAAATTTGAGGGTAAACGTTTCTTTTCTCATTCCTATGAGAAATGAATAGCCCTAAATCTCCATACGAAATCATGCGCGCAATCCCGCCAGACGGTGACGTGATGCCCTTGCGAGTTCCCAAGGTGGGTCTAGAACATCAACTATGGGCCCGCCTGACGGAGTGTTGTTAAAGGCCCTCCTCTCCGGCCTTGCAAAGTTTTATCTCACGACCCCATTCGGACTTGAGAACTTGTGACGCCGTGATTCTACGAGACGGATTCGGGTCCAATATCGAGTAGATGACGTTCCTGCAACGTGCCTGGATTGATGACGGTCAGTTCTGCGTCAGTGATTAACCTGAGAAAACGTAATCCAACTTACCCTGTGTAACGACTCGATCGGTTGGTAGCCCTCCTCGTCCCGACGACCTTCTAGGTACCTAGCGTAGAACTCGTCGTCGTCCTTCTTAGCTACCCTCCACAAATGGCGACCAGTCCTCATGGCCATGTAAATGACGCCGCAAGCCCACACATCGACAGCGCGAGCATCGAACTCTTTGTCGATATACTCCTCGGGTGCAATGTACGGGGCAGAACCACACAGACCGGAAACCATATGCGCGTCGTTCTCCCAAGCCATACGGAAGCATTCGCCATTGCCAAAGTCGGTGATCTTGAGGGCACCGTGGGTGGTGAGGAGGAGGTTCTCGGGCTTCAGGTCACGATGAGCAACACCCATCTCATGCATGTACTCGACACCACGCATCATTTGCTTGAAGAAGCAGTCCGCCTCCTGAACCTCGAGTTTTCCGGCGGCAAGGACAAGGGTGTAAAGATCGCCTCCAGCACAGAATTCCATCACCTCGCAAAAATCCCCCTTGGCGTCCTTAATAAGGTCAAGGGTGTGAATCACGTTGGGATGTCTGAGGGAGGAGGAGATGCAGAACTCGGCAGTCAAGCGTTTGCTATACTTCTTTTCCGTTTCCTCGGGCCTGCGGCGGAATTCCTTGACGGCAAAAAGCTTCTCTCCGAGACCATTCTCCAGTTTCTTGTGCGAGATCCTCACGATACCAAAGGCTCCACGGCCAATGATCTCCTGGCATTTGCCGTACTTTTCGACCAGAGTGGTAGGCGCAGTGCTTACGCCCTTCTTCTCTGCCGTGGCAAGACCATCCTTTTCTTGCTTGAGAGTGTCGACCCAGCTGGAAACCAAAGACAAGTCGTTTTCGGGGGCTGGCTGTTCAATCTTCCTGCCGAGGAAGCCCTTGATCATATCGGTTAGCTTCTCCTGGCGGCGACTTGACTTCAGGTGGTGCTCGTGACCGCCTTGGGCCTCGGGGATAAGGACGAAGCGTGAAGGCGGCGCATTGCCGTTCGTCTTGGCTTTGGCATCGGTGATGGACATCTTGCGCTGAGGGACAGGCTTCGAGCTCGCCGACGGCGGCGGGGATGGAGCTGTGCTGCGGTTACCCGGGGTGGTGTTTCTCGAGGTAGCTGCATCTGCTGCAGCAGCAACGCGACCGGGGTCTTTTGTCGAGAACATGCGAGTCAAGCGGTCCTTGACCGAAGCCTTTTCCGAAGGCTTTGGCAATTGCTCGGCAGAGCTGGTCGGGACGGGGTGGCCGTTCTGGGCAGCAAGATGCGGGGATCTCGAGGAAAGGTCGAAGGACTTGATGGACGACGTCTGTGAAGGTGAAGTGCGCTGCGAAGACGCAGACTTGGCGTCTGAGGTGCTGCTCGCCATGGTTGCAGATTTCCGAGGGGGACAGGTTCCGGGTCGCTCGGTGGGTGTGATTGGGGGGGAGGGCCAGTGCTCTTGTGGTTGTCTGTTTTTGCGCGGGGCGGCGGCTGGTCGCTGCTTGTAGCTGCTCCGACTGCCGGAACTGTAGCCGAAGAAATATAGCGTAGTACGGCGGTCAAGCGAGGTCGATGGTGGCAGTCAGTCGCTGGGCAAGCGGTGCACCAAGCGACACGGGCGAGCGCGGGATGAGGTAGGGTCGAAAGTCTTGGGTCAGGTTAACGAGTAGGTAGGTAGGCTTGTTGGGGTTTCGTCGTCTAGGGGGGGGGAGGGTCGTCCACTGCGCTTATGCAGGGAACAGCGATGGTGGCGGCTTGCGCGCCTTGAATGAGTGGGCAGAAGCCCGGACTTGGACCCTTTAGGCCTTCAAAACGGCAGGGTATTGTCGAGGCGATGAACCTCTGTCTGGATTGCGAGAAGGACTCAATCTCCTTTATAAGCCGCGATAGGGCTGGCACACCTGGCAAGGCCGAAAAGTGAAGAAAAAAAAATCAAGAGGCCGAATCCAGGTTGAGCGGAGCGGAGAAATCGAGAGCGGGTGCCGTGCGCTCGGTGCGGGCTGCGCGCCAGTGGATGGATGATGGGACTCTGTGGAGGAGCCAGTCGCAGTGCGGGCAACAACGGGTGGGTGTTGCGCAATGTGTGCCCTTGGTTTTTTTTTTTTTTTTTTTTTCCCTCTTCCACTTCAAGTTCTGGTTGTGCAGTGGTGTACGGTGCCAACTCGAGTGGGCTCGCTACTGCAGAGTTAAGTACTGCGTACTGGTCCGGCGAATGACTGATTGGTGGAGATAGAGGGTGAGGTGAATGGACCCGACGGGACCTGATGGAGCCCGCCCAGGAAGTGAAGTGGACTGTAGCCTGGGTGGGTGTGCGGGCCCTGGTGCTGCGTGACAGAGTGGAGCCAGAGGCAAAGGCACGCCGCGAAAGGTACCCCAAACACGTTCCGTTGTTACGTAGCTCGCCGTGGTAGTGTAAAATAGGATTTCAAGGTTTTCAGACCTGCCTGGTTCGGATGCGTTCCGTCGTTTGTCGCCAAGCTGTGTGTGTTTCTCTTTCTCGAGGCTCTGTTCCAGTCACTGGTCGACGACGCACGGAAGTGCAAGGCTGTTGATATTGGCGCCTTGTCGGAATGGATAGATAGGTAGACGGTTGTTAGTACAACTCGAGAAGCGTGGCAGACCTGGACTGTTATTGTAGTTGGCGGACGGCAATCATGGTGAAGATGTATCGATGGCTGTGAGTGTGGGATGGTTTGATCATGCGAGTCGTGTTGGCTCCGACGTCAAATAGATGGCAATTCAGTTCCTTGTTCCTGTTCCTGAGAATGCCGTCTTGAGTGGCAGAGACAATGGAAAGGAAGGTGAAAGAGGGAGAGTAAAGGGTCGGTATTTCCAGGATTGGATCGATCGCCAGAATCAAACAATGGAAGAAATCCAAACGAGAGAGAGCACGGCAGGAGGTGCCCTGGCGCTCCTGCTTGGCCACCCAGCTGCCACGGCAGACCGCAAACTGCAGACCGCAGAGAGCCTGAGGCAAAAGTGCTCGGCTGATGGTGAGGGGGGGGCAAGATGGGAAGCAATGACTGAGATAACAATAGCAAATAGTAGCGGTTGAGCGAGAGAGGGACTGGACGCTTTTAAACACAAGGGGCTGATATGTCCAAAGTGTACTCAGCGGCTGGATCAATGCAGATGATCATCCTGCCAGGCTGAGTAATAGATGTTCAGACCGCACTGCTGCAGCTAAGGCGGAAAGGTGTGGCAGATGGCAGGTATCGACTTGGGGTTCGTTTGTTACTCAAGGTCGCGTATGAATGGGCGGCGTACCGTGAAGGTAGGCGAGAGGATGAACGATGACCAGCAGAATCCGGACACGAAAAAAAAGGCAGCTGAGAGAGCCAAAGTGAGGCTTGCGGCCAAGAGTCTTGTTCTATTTGTGTCTCCAGGTCATCCACCCTTGAGACCGGCTCCTGGCTAAGATTAAGGAGAAATCGAGAGTCCGTGAGGGAAACTGAAAAGAGAGCTTCTAGGCTGAGGAATGGAAGCTGGGGCGCGGTAGAAGATGGGTGGTATAGCGTGACAGAACTCAACAAAGAAAGAAGCAGAGCCGTGTAAGAGATCAAGAGAGGGCAAGGGGGGCAAGGGGAGCCAGGGGTGGGAGATATATACCTACCTGATCTCCAGATTGGGGATGAATACATCAGGATGGAATACATATACAAGTCTCTACTTGGCTTTACCAGAGTACTATGTAGATGTATACGGACAAACAAAGAGATACGACAGGGAAGAAGCCCCAAACAAGGCCGCCATGTCCAATTTTTTCTCGCATTCCACTCCATTCTACTTACGCTGCCCATCACGATAGCAGCAGCCAATTGTCCTGTACGAGTTAGCTAATATCGTGGTGATGAATGGCGGCTAACCTTTTCACAAAACCTGCCTTGGCCCCACTGCAACAGTAGCTGTCAAGACAACCAGCTAATTTATTCATCCGAGTAGGACCCCAGGGTTTACATGTAGGTGTCTTTTTTAAATGTACCAGCAGTCCTTACATTGTCAATATCAATGCAACAGCGGCCGCTCCACATGAGGAAGTTCGATCTTTTGTACATGCTTGCGTATATCAGATTTGTAGCCTCTTTTATCACAGCGAGGTTTTAGAGTTCTGAGACTTGTCACGGTGGATCTCATGGGTATCTCTTTCTACGGACACTGTACGTAGTTTGTAACGGTAACATTGAAACGGTGAAATTGTACGGGTACTTACCCATCATACACTACAGGTAGCGAGGCATGAGATCTTTTGTGGAAACATATGTACCTAGGTAGTGTACCACGTACAAAAGTATGCCGGGCTCTTCAATAGTACTTGGTACCCATATGAGCGTAATTGCGCCTATGAACCTGCGAACTCTCTTCGGCCACGTTTTTGGAACGTCCCTGGAAGCTCAGCAAAAATGCTGATAATCATTCTTCTGCTCCTGCGTGTTATTAACTGTACCTCCTGTACTCTCGGTACTGTATGTACGTATCATGCAGTTTGGGACGGCGAGTGGGGCTGCTCTCCATCCCTGGTCGAAGCTCGTGCTGCCGTACTACACCAAAAAGAAGACATCCTCATCTCCTGTCAACGCTCAGTTTCGTCGAGGTTCCGAGGATCAGGAAACATCCAAGGGTGAACAGCGGATGAGCACTGCTCCTTCTAAGAGTGGAAATGATTGTGGCCCTCGCCGTCACCATCATCCGCCGCTATGAAACTACAACAAGTGGAAGGTACGACGATCCTTGAAAGCACTACAGGCACGATGGAGCTTACCTCTACAGCGGACAAGATTGATCACTAACTCTTCTTCATTACTGTTTCTGTCTTGGAAACCGAACCAGCCAAGCAATCCCAAGCTCTCAGCTCTAAACCTCGACCTTCATAGTGAACAGGATCGAAGCGGCTGGATCCTCCGGTTTAGACTGCTTGTCTTACAAATACGATGCCCTGTCTAACATGGTGACTTTCTATTTGTTCGTCACAGTAAATGATATCTTTGCCAATCCCCTTCTCATGTCTGTTCGGTGTCCGGCGGTCTGCCTTCCAATAATTTGACAGATGTTAAAAATGATGTCCGTCCAGCTTGGCAGAAAAGAACCATACGTTACACTCCAACCCTGGCACTTTGATAGACAGTTTTTCCTTAGTCTGAAGTTGGGTTCTGTGGACTTTGGTAATGCACGTCCTAGAAAAGCGCTGGAATTGTTTCCTTTTTGGGTATTCAAATTGTCTTTAGAGGCGCTTTTGCAACTCTCCCTCTACCCTAGTGTTGTTACATTCTCTAGATCGCCCATTTCTCCCCGGTTCAAACGAAGCTAATTTCCTACAGGTTGTCCATCCGCTTTTGCGTCATCTGAATTTCTATGAGACTTTCCAAGAGTCTTGTCCTGTCTTCTGCAAGAGCCATCAGTGGACACTTGGTGGACCTGCCGTGGGACTGGTAGGCGGGCGGCCTCCCATTTCCTGTTGAGGTTGGCATCCGAATACTGTTGCGACTGCTACCTGCTAACCTACATACCTACGGTTGCCCCTTCCCTTCGCCCTTCTTCAAGTCGAATGGCTGATCCCACACTTACAGTAATGGCCCCTGTTAATGCAAGCCCCCCCCCCCTTTTGCAACACATAGGAACTGACCCATCAGATGCACACGATTTTTTGCGGCCCGGATTCCCATTCTTGTATGTAAGCGAGGAATCCCTTCATGCAAACAATGCTGGGTGAGAATTCGACCTGTTCCCCATACAGCCGGAATTAGTTGCATTAACAAGGGACATTACCGTAGAAGCCGTTGTGGGCGGATGCGGGGCCGATCGAATCTCATTTCAGGCTTGTGATAATGCCCGAGCGCCAGAAGAAGAAGGCCAACGATCTGGCGGTTTCTGGCCACTTACGGAGCAAGAGGTCTTCTCGCGGCCTGCACCCGGTTTCGGTTTTGCTCTCCCGATTAGCGGGCCTCGCAGGCGTGACGAAACATCACCTCACTTCCTTTTTTCCTCCCTCCCCACCAGAGGTCATGGATACACTACTGGTTACTAAATGCTAGTGAGTAGCTTTAGGATCCAAATGGCATCAGCGAGCCGACATATCGTGAATTGATATCGACTCGATGAAAGAAACCCCATACCTACCTAGGTAGTCATGTTCTCCATCTTCATGGTACTTCATCTCGGGAGTTTCGTGTCAGACGTCTGTAACTGCGCGCTGGCTAGAGATAGCAAGATAGGTATGTAAGTTAGCAACATAACATCACCTCCTCCTCAGTTATTATACTATGAGGCATTTTCACCTCGTCTCATTCCACATATCAAATCGTGGTCTCAACGTCCTGCGGCCTCCCTGTCACTAGGCAAGTATCCGGCTTTTGCCCCAAGCCCCTCTCGCCGCATCACCTTAGTCCCTCTCCCACTACAGATACATGCCGCCTGCTATGTAGGTATTACTTCCTGTCACCAATCCGTATTTTCTCTCATCAGCAGCTTCTCATAACCTCATATCTGCGCCCACTATTGGTCGCTCATCAGGCCTGTCCCTGAGCTGATGAACTGGCGCTGCAACCTGCATTGGCCTGCGGGGTTGCGCCGCTGCAGTCTCTTTCAGCAAACATTCACCATTACATATCAGCCTCCGTCAACCTACCAGCCGAGGACGATGCCTTATGTGATTTATCCTCGGGGGGATACGTTATGTGGCAGCTGAGGAGCTCTACACTAACACTAGAAGCTATCGCTAAAGCTTTCTGGCCTCTTCTCTGTCATTCCAGCAAAGTAAAGATGCATGTCTACAACCGAGGGATACCGCAGCAGTCATGCACCCGAGTTCTACACACCAACTTTTCCTTTCACGAACCATGTTTCCTATTCAAAGAACCCCATTCCGCTTTGTGGCTTTTTCAGATACGGTATAGTGCACTCATGTACACTAGGGACTCACGGCAGGTTCTCGGCATCAGATGTATGTATGTAGTAACCGTTTCTCGCAGGATGATACACAGTTTGCAGAGGTATAGACACAGTGAGTGAACAGGGTGCTTGAGAGCCTCCTTTTCTTCATCCTCACGACCTTTTCTCTTTCTCTCTCTTCTGACACTGCAGCGTGCAAACGAAAGGAAAAGTGACGCCCCCGTAGCGGTGTGCCAAAGCCACCATGTACGAGAAGACCGATTATGGATTACTGCGTCAAGCCCTCTTACCTCGCCTTTGAAAAGGCTGGAAAACTGCTGCCAAGAGTTTGAATCACGTACCAAGACTTCTTGGTTGCCAGGTAGCCGGACCGCAGGATTGGGTTGTTGGGTTGGGTACTCAGCCAGAGCCGCATCTTTCACCAAGATGGGTAGAAGGTAGAACACTCATCATGACGCCTTGGTCTATGCTCGAAACTCTTGGAGCATCTGGAAGTGCATACATCCTCCCATTTGGCCCTTTGATGTTCACCAAATCCGCCGCCATCCTTTAAGGTACTCAGGGAATGCAAGTCATCGGATTGATTCCTGGAACCCTTCGGGAGGTTGATAAGGTAGGTGATCTCACATCACGTACGTAGTCCCATCCACGCTGACAGGTGTCACAAGTCACAACCTGGACAGACAAAACAGTCCATTGCCTATCAGCGCCTGTGCCGCATGTCTCAACGCTAGGTAGGGTATGTGGAGAGTGTCTTGCAAGGCTCGACATCGTCTCAGCTCACGCAACATGCATTCCTATGTATATCTCTAGTGTACTATGTAGCAGAGAGCTACCGCGAAGACCGCCTTGATCGACATGAGCGTAGGGCCCAGAAAATTTCTTGGTGGTACCGTGCCCACGACAGATTTCGACGATCTTGACGATCAAACACACTCAGGCAGTGTGAGCAACACATGTGCTGGGAACGATAGACAAACGTTGGGTGTAGAAGATGGTGGGGTAAGGAGGGGGAAGAAGAAAACGACAAAACAGGTAGGGGCACTGAGTCCTCTAGTACACTACCACAATATGTATGTGATGCTCGTGGAGGGGAAGACCCCTTGCTTGTCATTTCGGAATTGAGACGCTAAACTGCCATTCGGTTCGGGGCATGACTTTGACAGTACCGGTGGTACCGGCAATACCACCAAGCCTTCTGCTGCCGCTGCTCTTCTTCCCTTGTCAAAACGAAACACTTCCACACGTGGCGGTGATACGCACATGTTCTGGTCATAATTTATACTACTTTTGTCGATAACGCACAAGGGCACAAATTGAAATACCGATATGTTCCGTACGGGTCATGTTTATGCGTATGAAGGGGGCACGGCAACAGACGCCAGGTAGGTTGCCGTCCTTGGCAGTCTTCCGTTGACACCCATCTATGTACACTGAATGGATCTGCGCTAGCACTAGGTAAGCACAGTCAGTATATTACCCTCGCCATTTTCTCGGGTGTTCAAGGATTAGTGTTGATTATTTGTTGAACATGACAACTTGGGAACATAGGACTGGTGTCATCAACAGCAACGCTGACATTGCCTAGCTTATGGTATGAACTGGGCTACTACACTACCCATGTGCACCTTAGACGCTGTCGAATCTTTCCATCCGTATTCATATCTTCTTGAACCCTTTCAGCGTACCCCAAGCCGTCCCATCTATCCCAGCTCCCGAATCATACCTATTTTACCCCGACCGTCCATCCGATATGTAACCGCAACCCAAGACTTCCAAGATTTGCAGCCACCGACTTGGCAAAAGCTTGTATTGCTCATGAAACTCTACTATGTATTTCCAAGCCTTTTGCCAAGTTGAATGGACTCTTTCTTGTTGAGGCCTCCAACGGCTTCCCAGCCCCGTTGTCTCGAGACCTTTTTTTTTTCTTGTCATCCGTCATTATCGGAACACTTTCGATCCTTTTGATTTTTTTTTTATCTTTGGACAGCGGGAGGAAATGGAGATCCAATGTGTCACGGCAGTGCAGTATCGCCGTCTTGGTAGTCTGGGCATTCTTTCTGGTTACGTCAATGGTGTGGGTTGCGATACTCAACCCAAGTACATTTGCGGATGTGCCGCGCAGGTTTTATCCACGGCTTCGGGCCTTGTGAAGCATTTATTTGATCTCTGTCCCAACTGCGGCCTCGGAAGTTATGTCGCAAACGGTGCACTCACCTGCCTACATGTATGGGCGCACTAAACCGCAAAGTCCTATTTGCGAGAAAATCCAACACTCCCCTCGGCGCAAACGACACGATGTCTGGTTGACCTTCATCTTCATGGTCTCTCTCCCGCTTTGCTATCATCAACGTAAACCACACATAACAGTCCGACCTTTGCTGATAATAATACCACCACCCGCTCCTTTTTTTTGCCTGTGAACGGTGATACAACCCCTATCTCTATCACCGAGCAGACTGAACGATGTCAATCACTCGCCCTTTTCGCGAGAATAAATAGCAAAGTTCCTATGCTTATAAAATGAATGCAAGCACAAGTGATATTGGGGTCCATTGCCTTGTATGCACGCATATGATGTTCACATTCGACATGGGAAACGCCATGCACATACATAACGCAACCGATCACGCGAGTGTGCATTAGCCACTCCTGGGATCTTCTTTGGAGTCGGAGACCTAGTGCATGGGATAAGGAGAAGCTTAGTACACGGTCATAAAGCGTTCCGGCGTAGTACCTCTATCATCCATGGTTGGCAGCCTCGGCAGAGTCTTTTGGGGAAGGAACCTCCCTAATAGGTAGATGTGCCATGTACATGGGAAGCAGCGGTGAAGAAGAAAATAGGATGGGGTGTGTCGCTTCATGCCGTTATTACCCTCCTTGCCTTGCGGATGGTTACCTACCTAATTACCAGCCTCAACTTAAGGCCATCCTAAGGTCCCTTGGGGCTTTGCACTGTCATCGAGTCTCTCGAAGTTGCATAAGGCGTGGTTTACTGCGTCAAAATACATCTTGTCCCCTCTCGAAAAAGAATGACAACACTTTGACGCCCAGCTGTTCAAGCAGTTTTGAACTCGAACTTGATAGACCACAAAACTATGGCTTCCGTATCTCAACCCTTACCTGATTCTTTCCTTCAACACTACCTAGTTTCTTATGAACGCCCAACTGTTTTGGAGGTAGCTATGCGTCGTCAACTTTGACACTACGGGTGTAACGATCTATAGAACAGCGAGCGAACTATCGAAGAAAGACTTATCAAAGGGCAAAGACAGCACAAAAAATCGGCATCATTAATACACTTGGAGGTCAAGTGACTGACTGAATGATTGGTGGGAATATGGTGAATGTTTCGGGTGCGCCAACCGAGAGAGATCGAACGAGCAGTTGAGGAGGGGGGGTTTAGAGCGAGGGGCAAGTACCTAACGAACTTCTGCACCCAAAAGATAGGTGCGTTACACGAGCGAACACCCAGTCGGCAGAATATTCGGTAATATCCATGTGTGCACAGAGATGGAACTTCTCGTGAGATATCAAGAAGGCGGGAGGCAGTAACCTCAAAGTCGTGCGGGGAACATGGGAAACTGAAAAGGCAATAGAAGGAGTGGATGAACTTGGACTTGAACGCTCGCTTGTCTTCGCTTGTCCTACGTACTGCATTGAGGCAACTACATATGGTAGGCATTCACTTCACGCCAGTGAATCAGTTGAGCTGATACAGAGTCCAAGGACTTGAGATGAAAACTAACTTCGAGGTAAGTATTGCTCGACAGGTGAAAGGGTGTAAAAACACAACCAAAGAAAAATACACAGTAAAGAAAGAAAATCATCAAAGGTCTCAAAAACCCATGGCTTGGTTCCTACGCCTTCTGGCTAGTATCGCTTCAACATGAACTCACCTACCTCTACAAAAACTGATTATGAGAATGTCGTCTACCTAGGTATCTCTGATATTCCCACTAAACCTTCCAGAAAGTACCTACTCACCAGACCGACAGACCACCATCAATCCATCTCACGACTCACGACTCGCAACCGGATGAAAGGAAACATCAAATCCAAATAAACAACAGTGTCAATCGTCAACCGCCACTGCCACCCACCGGCTTTCATTCCCATCATTTCAACTGGCCTGGCCTGGCCTGGCCTGGAGGTAGACGATCTATCAAATTCGGCTCCAGTCGGGTTACTCAATGCGGAGGCTTACCGAGCTTATACAAGTTCGATTAGAGACTTTGGTATACCTGGTCAGGTAGGGCAGCTTTGTCTGGATGTATATAGCATTTTTACCGTAACTTTCTTCACAAGGACGCTCATGACACACACATATATATATTTCCCAAGAAACCTCAATGTCGAACGTACCTGTGTTTAAGGAAGATGTTCCATTGAATTAATACAAGGAGAAGTGAAGAGAGAAGTAAAGAGAATTGAGGTTTGAGAGATACGACTCATGAAAATAACTCAGATCTCCTATCCAGATATTGCAAAATAGAACTAGGTGTATACTCACACTTTCGTTGATTCCAGAAGAGCAACATTTGGTGACCTGTTCTTAGTAGCCCAAAGGTAGGAAGACATAGCCAATTCTAATCAAAACCGCCCAGGTACTAGATGATCTCCGGACATGAGGTCAATTATACCAAAATAATCACTCCGCTGCCCCATCACAGCGAGGCCTCCATAGAACAATTCATTGCTCACACACGCAGTTTCCCTTGTTGCCTCCCCCTTCAACTATTGTCCACCACCGTCCCCATCCTTTCCTTCCCCCTCCAACTCACCACCCCCAACCACCACCTCCTTCGCCCCTTCCATAGCTCTAGCTACCACATCCGCAAATCCACTTGTCCCCTCTTTTCCCGCCTCCCCTCGCGGCTGCCACAAACTCCTCGGCGTATCCCCAGCTCCATCCACGTTATCATCATCCCCCTTTCCCGTCCCAGACCACAACCTCTGCCCCTGCTCCCCCACCTCTTCTTGGCCATCACTCCCCAGAATAGCAGTGTCATGCTTCTTCTTATTCAACCGCGTGTGATAAAACGTTGTTCCAGTACCCGTACCCGTCCGTCTACGTTCATTAGCCTTACTATTCCTACGACGGCCGCCACTAGAACTCATGCTAGCGGTCCGCTTGATCCGCTCAATCTCGGCTTCAAAGGCGTTATCGTAGATGTTGAAGTCGACCATGGTGGGTGACTCGGACACGTGGTCGGCGGGCGGGAGGTCGGAGGGGTTGATGGCGAAGCTTGTGTCGTCACCGCCTACGCCGATGCCGAGGTGGGGCGGTGGTTGGGGTTGCTGGTTTTGTTGATGTTGATTCTGCTGCTGCTGCTCTTGTTGTTGTTCGGAAGTCTCTGGACCCGCTGAGATGGTCTTGGAGTCGGTTAAAGTAATGGTGGAAGAGGATGAGGTAGCGGTGGGGGTGGTGGACGATGATTGTGTAGAAGAAGGAGAAGGGTTTCCGGTGGCGAGGGGATGGAAAGGACCGCTGAGGTTGTACTGCCCGCGTAAGGCTCGGTCGTTGCCAAAGGTGCGGGAACCGGTGGGATTGAAGAATCGACGACGCTCTTCAAGGATACGGCTGGCGAACTCGGCTGTGGATTCCTCATTTTGAGGGCTCTTGAAGTTGGTGTTGGAAAAGTCGATGTCCGCTGTTGGTGGCTCGTTTTTACCAGGGTGGACTTCGAGGGTTTGGGTCTGTAATTTGGGCGTGGCTCCGTTGCGGTTGAGGAGGCTCTTGAATTTTGAGATTGCTCTCATCTGGACTTTGTTAGAGATAAGTGATGCGTAAGTAGTAAGATTTCACTTACCACACAGAACAGATGGCTCATTCTCCGGGTAACGGCATGGTTGACTTCGAGAGCATTGGGTACTTCGATTGGCTCAGAGCAATTCTCTTCTTCGCTCAGCAACGGGTCTTGGCCGTTCTTGGTGACCCAAGGGTGCTCCTGATGATTTTGTCAGTTAGCTGTACCTGATGCTTCGGTTAACGAGGTCACCCACCCTGAGCTCATGCATGGTAATCCTTTTGGCCGGGTCCTTCTCCAGGATCTTATGCATCAAGTCAAGAAACTCGGGTTTCTCGTCAGGTGGAAACTGAGGCTCCTCGTTCTTGATTGCTTCCCACATTTCCAGCTGGTTATCGTGGGCGAAGGGAAGCTTGCCGTAACGCAGACAATAAAGGGTAACACCCATGGACCAGATATCGGCTGCCCTGCCCGAGACATCACCATGCTTTGCGCACAACTCAGGGGGCAAGAAAGCTGGTGAGCCTGCAGGCTTGGCGGTCTTCATCTCATCTGTCTTTTGGAAGATTTCGGAGACTCCAAAGTCGACGATCTTGAGGACATCGTCTTCAGTAAGGAGCAGGTTGTCCGGCTTGATATCGCGGTGGATCACTCCTTGCGAGTGTACTATTGACATGAATGTAAGCCAAGGCGTTATGGTGACAAGATACTAGACAGAGGACTTACGATACTCTATGCCCAAAATGAGATCACGAAACCAAAACCGGCATTGTTCCTCGGGCAAAGGCTCAACCGAACCATGAATGCCCATCTTCATGACCACGCCCTTTTTGCACATTTCCAGAACCATGTAGAGTGAATCATCCTCGGGATCATCCAACACCTCATACAGCTGGACCAGGTTGGGATGATTCAGCTTCTTCATGATGGCGATCTCCTCCCGAATGAGAAAGAGGGCATCCTTGGCCTCAAGAAGCCTCTGCTCTGAAAAGCGAGAGATGGACTGGTTCCGCGGACCTCTTGGTGCATGGCGTAGAATGTTGGACTGAGCGCGCCTTCTGAGCTGAGCCTTGGAGAACTGCTTGATGGCATACTCCTTGCCGAACTGGTCGGTGGCCAGACGTACGGCGCCGTAAGAGCCATGGCCTATCTCGTCCTTGATCAGATACTGGTTGATGCGTTGGCGGGAACAGCCGTCGACATCGTCGTCCAGGTACTCGGATCTCGCGTTGAGGGTTTCCTTGACTTCTCTGTGGAAGGACGGGGTTCTCTTGTGATGTCTCAGGGGACTCGGATATTGTTGCATTTGGGGAGGGGCCGAATGAGTGTGAGGAGGCGTTGCCGGTCTCGGCCTGCCATGGTCGCTAGGGTCGCCATGGAACTGGACTGAGATGCCCGGTGAGAGCAGAGGGAGAGATGTGGTCTGTTGGTGCTCTGGTTCAAGATGGACGGCCATTGTGCTTTGGGCGCCGGAAAGGCGTGGGCGGAGTGGTAGCGAGAAGGTTGTTGTTGTTGTAGGGCAGTGAGGATCAGGGGTTCCGGGAGAGTGTTGAGGTTGTTGACTAGACATTTCCGTCTTGACTGAACAGATAGCTCTCTACACGAGATGTAAATGCAGGTGTACTTTAGTACGTATCAAAGGTCAGCTATGACGGATGGTTCGACAGATGTTGAGCGGGAAGAGCCGTGAACAGTGGCCTTTTTTGGTGGTGCTTTGGCGCCGACGGGAGCTATGTAACAGCTACCTAGACGTAGCTAGTTAGTGCGGGGGTTCTCTCGGAAACGAGGCAAGTTCAGAGATGACGATGTTATGTTGCAATTCCCGCCTAGGCTCCAGGTCTAATGAGGCTCGGCTGTCCCTGTACCTCTAGGCGAGAGTAGCAGGATTTGGACTTTCCTTGGCCTCGGCAATACGATAAACTCGTCACGTTTCAGTTTCTTTCAGCGATGGGTTGGTGGATGGATGGGGATGCCTCATCCGGCCAGGAACGCCCAGGGCTCACACAAAGGCGGAACCGTCACAACCTAACCTACCTAAAAGTGGGCAAAGGGAGACCCCTGAAAGTCGACTGGTTGAGTCCCATCCCATCCCCTCAGGTTTCCCCAGAGAGTGGCCAGATAGATCATCGAGCAAGATCTATGTGTACCTCTATTGTAATCTCTGCCTTTCCATCATGATGTCAACTAGTCAAAACAACCCAAAGTAAACATTTCACAGGGCTTCGCTACGGCAACTGTAGACCTACAGCACTTGTACTTTCTGACTTCCTCTTCACCTACCATGAAAGCTGTTGGCTTCCGCTGTCATGGATGAACTTCCATTGGATTTGTGACAAGCCTGGGCTTGCAGCGAATGGCCATGAACATGATATCGATCTGTACTATTTGGGAGTTGGGACGAAATAGGTATACACTACAGCTTGGGTGTGCGCTGACATTTCCACTGTTGGTCTAGCGCAGCCGTAGCGCACCCGCACCCCACATGCCGCCGTGGCAGCATACTTGAGACGCCCGGGCGAACGACTCCCGCTGCCGACACTGACCGATTGCCCGACAACCACCATTCTCAACGGACGGACACCGGGGGCAGGACAGGGCAGGGATCCCCTCCGCATTCAATCATCGCAACTGTCGCAATCGCAACCAACCGTTCGTCGTCCGAGCATAGGTCCTGTTCCAACATCATCTCTTCCCGACCCTCGCTTCACCCAAGCCGCCTACGCAGCGCTTTCACGTCTTCTCGCTTGACATCGATCCGCCGTTCCCGCCCTGTGCGCTGCGCAATACCAATTGCCCTTCCCCCTCCAAATCCACAAAGCAAAGCTGTAGGCGCCCCGACTCGAAGCTACAACGCCAACCATGGTCATCTACTCCTTTTACATCTTCGACCGGCATAGTAAGCCCGCCCCCTTATCCCCGCAATTGATCTTCTACTTACCCAGCCAACAGCGGAATGCATCTACTCCAAGACCTGGCTCCCACCCCCTCCTGCCCCCGGGGCACAACAACAGCATGATATTTCGACAAGCACTACCGGCGCCGCCGTGGCCTCCTCCGACCCCCACCATCATAATCCCAACACGCTACGCAGCACACGCTCGGCCGTCAGCGCAGCCAACAAAGCCTCGGACGATGCCAAGCTGATCTTCGGCACCGTGTTCTCGCTGCGCAACATGGTGCGCAAGCTGGGCGGCGAAGACGACGCCTTCATCAGTTATAGGACAGCCCAGTACAAGCTGCACTACTACGAGACGGCGAGCAACCTACGCTTTGTCATGCTGACGGACACGGGGACGCTGAGCATGCGGAACGTGATGCATCAGATATACATCAATTTGTGGTGTGAATATGGTGAGTCTGTCTGGCTGAGGCTGTCTCTCTCTCTCTCTCTTCCTGTGGGTTGGTCAAGAAAGGGAATAGGATTAGGAACTAATAATAAACCACGAAAAAACAGTGGTCAAAAACCCTCTCGCACCCGTCGAACACAAAGGCGGCGCCGGCGTTAGGAACGAGCTATTCGAGCTGGGCCTAAATCAGTTTATCACTGGTTTAATGTGAGACCTCTTCATCCAGCCCTTGATTGAAATTTACAGTACAGCACATGAGCACAAACACCCGAATCGGTTCGCGCCTCGCATTTGGGCTTCTTCCAGCGACACTCCATCCACCGTCGTGAGCCCACCCAACCCCATCAACATACTCGCTCAGTTTTCTGCTCCCGTGGCAGGCACAAAAAAGCTGATAAAAGAGTTCGACACATAGCGGTCAAGCCGGCGGCCAGCGATAACGGAACAAAGGCAGTGCAATGTGGTTCCTCCGGGACAAGACTTTGGTTAAAGTCTGGCTTATGGCCTCTTGCGAAAGGATGAGAAAGAGCCCGAGCCCAAACCATTGTCGATTCGCGAGCGAGAGCCTGGACTCACTAAAACGGAATAAGTAGAGAGAGTTTTTGTGTCCAGTTTTCATGCAGACACAAGAAGACCAATTCATGGACCTGGCCGCTTGCGGAACTGGCCTCGCCATGAGACCAGATGAAGAGGAGGAGCATATGCATATAAAGACGGGATGACCCGTCGAGAGCACCGGCGTGGGATGGCCGTGATGGACATGGCGGAACAAGCATACCACATACTCGTTGTAATGAAAGAACGAACATAGCGATACCAACAAATTAATGCTACATTGACAAACTGCTTCTTACCCAATATCAACCCTCGGGACGTTGTGTTTCCTCTTTATTTCATCTAATACGTATAATGATATCTTGGTAGTAGTAGTAATAGTATAACATGAACTCCCCATTATCTAGCCCCACCATCCTACTCCTCTCCTTTCCCTCTGCACTATACGCCGCCGCCCATCATACAGAAAAAACCCACCCTTCATCGTCCATCCAATCCTCCCATCCAATGCATAATGAACCTTTCACACATAAACAATTACACTAGGCCAATACTTATCTCCTATCCTCAAAAGACGGGCCCCTCGACCCCGCCTGCGACGCGCTCATGGCCCTCTCCCACGCACTATCAAACCCAGCCGTCGGATCAGGACTAGGATCCACAACCACCAGGCTCTCTTCCACAGCACCTAATGGCTGTGACTCCACCAACACCCCTGACTCTTCCACTCTTACTGCTGCTGCTGCTGCTGCTGCTGTCCTTTCTCTCCTACTTCCCCTACTAGGAGCTGCTGCTGCTGCTGCTGGAGGAGGAACAGCAGGTGCCGGAACACCAGCATACTCCTCACTAGCAATTTCCGCTTGCCAATTACTGCTGTACACCACCGCCGCAAACCCTTCCAAGTCCCTAACCCCTTCCATGGCCTGGAGGTACTCGTTGGGCATGCCGTTGCCGATGGCGTGGGCCTGGCGCGTGAGGATGGAGAGGATCTTGGGAAGCAGGACGGCGCGGGTGACGGGGCGTTCAATGTCGATACTTTGGCGCGCGTTGTGGAGGTCAGACGAAGTGGCGACGAGGGTCGTGGATGTCACCACGTCGTCTGCGCCGCTGGCGACGGCGCCGGCTTCGGGAGTCAGTGTGACGGCGGGCGGAACGGCGGCGGGAGGGGCGTGCGCTTCAAAGGCGCCGACGGTGAGTTTGCGGTCAAGAAGGACGGCGAAGCCTTCGTCGAGAAGCTGGGTGAGCACAGAGGAGAAGGCGGGGGACTCGATCAGGTCGGCGGTCTCGTCGAGGAGGCGGCGGAGGGAGATGGTGGACTCGCCGCCGCCCTCCCCGGGGGTGGCGCTGGGCGGCGACGAGAGTTGTTGTGAGTTGTCCTCTAGCAGGATGCCGGATTCGCGGAGGACAAAGTCTTCCATGTTTTGTGGCGGGAGGAGGAAGGGGAGCCATTGCGTGGTTGCTCCTGCTGCGCCGCCTGCCTGACCGGCAGGAGAGCCTTCGATGATGGTGCGCACCTCACGGGTAAGCTTGGAGAAGGCGTCGAAGGTGATGGTGTCGCGAGGCGAGAGCGGGCCAAAGACTTGTCGGACGGCGGACTCGACCCGCTGCATGACATCTACCCAGCCCCGGTTGAGAAGCCACCAGGAAAAGGTGAGGTACTTGCGGTTGACTTCGAAATCGGAGCCGTAGGCCTGGCCTTCCCCGTCGAGATCGCCGTCGTCATCGTTGTTCTCGAGCGCGATGGCGCCCTCTCGCGTGGAGCCGGTGGCGAGGGAGACGACGGATGAGAGATAGCTGCGACGGCCGAGGAGGTTGAGCTGGATCCGTGTGAGCATGGTCAGTAGACCGAGAGTGTAAATCAAAGTGAAGGAACGGGTGATTGCTGTTTGATAGTATGAGTTAGTTTAGGTCAAGTGGGAAATACGGAGGACGACCAGCGTGCTCACAGCTAATCTTGAGGTCATCCCAGAGTTGTCTCTTAGTCTTTCGCGACTTCTTGGGCGCCTCTTGTTGGGGAACATCGCCGCCGGCCGACTCGCCCTCTGCGACAGATGGTAGAGGTCCTGGGGCCAGGAAGCTGGGATATGCGCCACCGTCGCTCTGCACACTGAATCCGCTGATCATACTACGGCCATCGTCGTCCATGGTGCCGACCTCGGATATGGTTGGGGCGAGGGAGCTGATGCTCTTCTTCCTGTTGGCTGGGCTCTTCATCTGCTGGATCTCGTATGTGATTCTTTCGGTATTGAGGGCCTCGAGGATGTTGGTGGTCGCGGTAGGTAGGAGGGCGAGGACAGTAAAGGTGCAGTCCTCCTGGTTCTGTTCGAAGCGGCGTCGCAAACTGTCGATAGGGGGTTCAGGGGTTAGCCGGCGACGTCAAGGACATTCTGTCTGTCTGGGTGTTTTGGTGACTGGGCGCACTTCTCCTTGGCTATGCGATCGCTGCTCATGCGCTCGCGCGCATTGTTGAGCTTGGTCAGGACATATTGGGTCGCGACGTAGCCGGCGCCGACAACACCAGCACCGATGGCCAAGGGCGTGCGATTGCGCTTGAACCACTGCCGCGTCGAGGCGAACATGGCGGCGCTTGGAGTTTAGCTCAATTAGTTGTGCCCCGTCTTATTCAAAGGTCGTGTATCAATGGGGCATATGTAATCGGCCGGTATTATATCGTAGGTATGCAATGCGCTGGTTGTCGAAGGGTATCTCGAGGTTTCGAAGTTTGCGTCTCCAACGGTGAAGAGCCCGCCCCCAGCTTCCGCTATGGAGATTCGGGACGGGAGTCCAGGTCGCGCCCCTGTAGGTACTGTAAATCCATCAAGCGGATACCCCCCCGTAGCGTAATAACCTCGGCTCGTCGTCACACCCGACTGATAGGGCTGATCGATCTTTACGAGGACCCTAACCCTGTTAGCCGACCACAGTGCCGTGCCTGTGTGTTGCGTTTTGTTACCATCTGTAACACATCGATGTAAATTACGACTTGGTCCAACTCCGGTCGAGCTCCGACAGGGGTAGAAAAACCAAAAGGGATTCGCCAAATTAATCGGGCATTTGTAACGACGAAGTGTATTGTCGAATTCCCATCATCTTTTTCTAAACACTGTAAATGCGCAACTCTAATAACAAAGACTCGACGCTTCTCGGACACCCAAATGGCTGATAGGGCTGGCCATATTTAGTTGCCTTTAGTTGATGAAAAGGGGTCAAATCTGCTGATGTCATTTTCTCTTGCTCAAAAGAGCAATCCCAGTCTTCAACCCCCAACCATGGAAATCCGGGGTTGTGGGGCTCTTCTTGCAGACAGCGTTGGGCTCCGGCGACCCCCGGGGTCCCGCAGGTCCCGCTACCAGGAAGTGACAGGGGAAGTTGGGACAACGTCACACCATCATCCGCCAAAAACCGCCCTTGTCCTTAAACCTCTTTGACCGCCCAGCAGCCGCCCCCAAAGCCGCGCCAGGGAACTAGGGAGATCTCTGCAGACCTTGCAGAGTGCAGAGAACTGCTGCCGTGGTGACTCTGCGTTTGCCCCTCGATTTGTTCCATCAAATTGCATCTTGTATTTTCCTGTCGTACTTGTTGTACCTTAATCCAAATTCCATTACCCCTCCACCATCCCATCCTGCCGCCGCTTATCGCTTGTCGCCGACGGTCGCCTGCCGTAATCGCATGACCTGAAGAAACCGGAAAGGGAAAGAAGACCTGAACGACGGGAAGCGCCGGATTTCTCTCCGCAAAAACCTCAGCCGGGCCGCGAAATAGAAACTGCCGTCATCCCAGCACCCGCGGCAGCGAGACAACATTACCACTCACATAATTCCCATTTTAACATACCGATACCGCAACCATGGAGAAAGTCGCGCCCGAGTTCACTCTCGAAGCCTTTGCCGATCCCGCCTCCGTGCGCGACGTCGTCCGCGGCATCCTCCACACCATCTTCTTCCTGCGCTACTTCGTCTCCCACGAACCCAAGACGCGCGACGTGTGCGGCCTCGAACTGGCCTACATTCCCGACGCCGAGATCGAGACGCTCATTGACCAGCGGGTCGCCACGCTCGTGCGCCAGCTCGAGGTTGACCGCAACCAGTCTTCCTCGTCACAACATCCTTATGGCGGCGGTGGCCCCGGGTATAGCGGAGGCGGTGGAGGTCGCGGGCAGATAACAGTGCAGTTCTTTGAGAAGAAGCGCAGGAAGACGTGGTACGGTATGGGGAGGGGCGACGACGAGGTATGTTGGGAGAACTGGACGGTCAAGGTGACGGTCGCTGAGCCGAGGACGGAGTCAGGTATGTTATTTTGTCCCGATATTCTTACAGATTGAAACTGCGACAGCTAACTCTCGTGTTTTTTCATGTCAAAAAGAGCGACATAAAGTTCGCAACGCAATGGAATCCACCCTCCAATCAACCGTTTTCAAATGCATCACCATCGCAAACACCCACAAGGACCACATCCCGCCCATCACCACCAACGATTCCAATCCCTTCACCTACCAGATCAACGTCAACCCACACCACGGCCTCCACCTCACCTCCCAGCAACACCTTCAGAGCGCCAGCAAGGAAGCAGCAGCACGAAGCGATTTTGGAAGCTCAGGAAACGGTGGCAATAGCGGAACTGGCGGAAGCGGACGAGGGGCAGGGAGGGGAGGAGCAGGCGGGCTAGCAGGTGCCGCGGGCGGTGCGGCAGCGGCTGTGGTTGGCTCGTGGGCCACCAGGATGGGTATTTACTAGAAGGACAGTCCCCCCTGGCTCCTCAACTCTGTAGGGAGTGTACTTGTGAACGTGGGCCTTTCGGTGCGCGATGCTGCTGTGAGGCTGGATGAGGCGTGCGGCAGGACGCTTGATAGGTGGGACAGAGAGTTCCAGTATGTCCTCAATAAGGAAGAGGAAGCGAATCCGGGAAGCAGAAGATAAAGGCGGAGGAGGAGGCGATCAGAGAGAGTAGGGATGAAACGTCGATAAACTAGATGAAGAGGCGGGAATCCTTCTTGGGGAAGAAGGGACAGACAGGCCTGCGGTTGAGAAGAGACGTTGAACGCGATGAGGGAGTTTGAGTTGGAATGAGCGAGTTTTTTTCCAGGCTTGAACGGGACCACACAGAACAGGGCGGCATTCTTGACGCTTATCTTCCCTCCTGATTTCTGACGCCATTCAACATCGGGTTTCCGCTACACTATAATTATTCAAGGCTTGCAGCAGTTTTGGGAGGGGGAATTTGGAGTGTCTAACCCTCCAAGGAGCGAGGAATGATGTTTATTATGATCACTATCGATAACAAGCATGGATAAAGGGCGTTATGGGATCACAGGATATGGGGACGGGACGGAGAAGGTTAAACGGGACTTACAACAGAGGACCAAACGAACCGGGTTAGCCATAGATATATTTCATCGATTTACGTATTTTGGGGGGGGTGGGTGGGGTGGGGTATAGCATAAACGCCTGGACGAAGGAAATTATTATTATTATTATTATTCATCACAGAAAACCGATCCCTTTTTTGGCATTTGATGATGGTCTTTTCTGTTGTTGCTAATAATCATCGTAGAAATCAACCGCGCTACCTATATTGTTTAAAGAGATCTTTTTGTATTGGGACAACTAACATACAGGACTATCATCTTGATACACACTACAATGATCACAGTACGGCTCAGTGTTTTACGTAGCTGCGTGGGAGTTGAGAGAGGAGGGGAAGCGTGCAGAAATTCGGAATTACTTTGCTGACGGAACTTCAGAAATAAATACGCCGGCTTCTCAGCTTCCTCAAATGTTCCCCCCTTTGAAAGTGAGAAGAGGGGCGCTAAGATTAACCACCGGGAGACCACAAAACTTCTTCCGCTCTGCAACTACCTAAGTACATGCATCTTCCACCTGTCAATCCATCATTACATGTATCTACACCTGCATCTATACCGACTCCAGCACTAATCTTCTTCTTTTCAAAACACAGCTGGCTTACTGTAAGGAACAAATTATTTAACCCCCCGAGGCGTATTCAATTCAACAACATGAGGTCGACATGGGATGACGCGGCAAGTAGACTGTTTTGTTTATAGCCAGGTGGTTGTGAGGTTTAGAGAAGCAGAGTACTCGTATGGGCTGTAACAAGAGAACACACAGAGGACAAGGCGCTGTAGTAACTCATGTCTGTTTGTTCGTTTCGGTAATGCTAAGCTACCACGGGCACCGTACATTGAACCCCAGAATGAAAACAAAAGAACATGGGGAAATCAGAATTTGTGCCAATGTCCTGCGTCGCCGATACCTCATGACGACGTTGATATCCGACCGAACACCCCAGGAGGAAAAGAATAAAACAGACAAAAACCTAACACAATCAGCTAACCCATGCCGTATCGCTCTTGCTATGCACATGAACCTACCCATCAGCCGACCGGATTCAAAACTATCCCTTTCCTGAACCGGTGAAAAACAAGCAAGGATCTCTGTATCCATTTCCCGATCCATTGAAATACCAAAACCATACCCATCGTTGCCATCCATACCGCGGCAGGAGAAATCCGAAACAGCGGTCGAAGAACACATGAAACTCCTTCATGATGTTAACCTGATATCCGACTTCTCATTCTCAGACCCGGTCAGAGAGACCATAACCCAACCCATCCCAAGCTGGCCGTAAGAGCAAATAGACCGACCTAACAAAAAAGGAAACAGAAGAAACGCTGTGTCAAATGACCTTGGGCCAAGAAACCGGTATGTCACCGGAGTAAAAGAAAAACAGAAAAAGCAGCAACGTCAACAAAAACTTGACATCAACGGCCTTGAGGGAAGGCAGAACATCCAATTGTCTCTTTGCAGGGTCCTGGCTTTGATGAGTTGATGGAAAGTTCAAAAGGCAAGGTGAAAGGGAGGATAGCAAGGACAAGAGTCTCTTTTGTGAATCGAAAGTAAACGCCGTTGATGCAATTTTTCTTCGTGACCACCATATTGGACGGCGACATGAGGTTATTCGTTATCATGAGGTAAATGTAATAGAGCTTAATGGTCGTGATGCCTTAAGCTCGTATGTCATAAGAGGTATGCGACGCAGTCAGGTTCACAGTGTTGTAGTAATCGTCATAATGCGTTCCAAGCCAAATTCGAGGCTATACAAAGCGATTATCCAGCAAAAGAACACACGAGAATAGGCGGGTTAGAAGATATTGCTGTAGCAGCGACTATATGACTGCCTCGGAGGAAGGCCTGCTATCGTAGGGGCGTTGTTAGTGGGCCGCGAAGTATTAGCAGGAGTCGAGCCAATCTTTTCGAACCCGGCAAGCATGTCGATTCCGGAAAAGTCGCTATCTTCTAGGAACTCGGAGCCGCAAAGATCATTCATTGTCATCCACGGTTCCAGGTTCTCAAGGTTATCGTTGCTCGCGGAGTTGATTTTGCACGGAGACTCCAGAAATACCTTACTCGGTGAAGAGGGCAGCCCCTCAAACACTTTGCTCGGTGTCCCAGTGTTCAAGTCAACTGGCTGAGAAGGCACTTTGAGGAAAGAAGCCACGTCATTACCATTGCCGCGAGAGAAGCTTGTCATGTCGGTAAGCGCACCGGTCGATTGCGACCTTTCAGGCCGCTGCCGTCTTGCTGACTGCTTGACCGGGGAACCGTTATACTGGTTGATAGCGGGCGAGACTCCAAAGTTATAGTATCCAAAGGGGCTGTCCTGGAAGATGTCGATCTCCGAAGTGACATTATCTGTTCCGCGCTCGAATCCGTACAGCATATCATCGAGAGTCAAAGTAGGGTTGGGTGTAAGTTGTAGAAGGGAGTCATCCTCGGGGAGCAAGGCGGCTACACGTTGATAGGTAGCGTCAACCATAGACTGGACGCTCTCGCGGTGTAACCGGAGGTTGGTAGTAGGGGATACCGATGGTGGAGGCATAGGTGGTGCCTTGAGTTTCATTGCCGGTGTTAGGGGCGGAAGCATTTGGCCGGACTTGGTAGCCGAAGCTTGACGTAGCGGGGAAGAAGAAGGGGGAGCGTAGCTGTATGAGCGGCCCTTTGATGGGCTATCGTATGATGATGTTCGAAGGCGAGCGATCTCCTCCTCAGCCCGACCCGTACTGAGACGCGGATGATCTGCAGAGTTAAGCAGGTTGGAATGCTGACTAGGGCGCAAGATTGAAGAATCAAGCGATGAAATATACCCACTATCGTCCATCGAGGTGGTCCACTTCTTGCGGCGTCCTTTGGTTCGCGGTTGGGGAGGCGTTGTGCTGTGCCGGGCCTCTAAGTGCTTGGGAACTGGCGGCGAGGATTGCACAATTGCAGGAAGAGGCGAGTACAAGTTGGAGTCATTAGACACTCCATGCTCAAACCCTTGATATGTGACATCCTCCACCGATCCAATCTCGGATGCGGGAATCGTGGCGTCTGATGATAGCTCTGGAAGGAGAGGCATCAATGTGGCCTGTGATGACGGCGGGCGAGGGGCCAGTTGAGCTTGTGTTGTAGGGGGCTGCGGTGGTAGAACGGGTTCATCTGGCAGGGGCACCTGAGGTGGCTGAGGTCGTGGTGATGGTGCCTGTGATAGCTGTGGTTGAGGTTTGTTGGCCCGGGATGACGGAGAGTTGGGTTCTTGTGGCTGAACGAGTGGCTGAGATGGCTCAAGGCGTGTCGACATGACTGGGAGGTTCTCGGCCGAAGGTGGCGCTTTCCTTGATGGCTTCTCCTTCATAAAAAACTGCTCAGCCCCCGGTTCGATGGCCCAATAGTTTCCCTTGCCCGGATCGTCCTTTGGTCGCTCCTGCTTGATGAAATGCTTATTCAGACTAAGGTTGTGTCGGATGCTGTTCTGCCACCCGGAATCCGAAAGCTGGTAAAAGGAGAAAGTCTCGGCGATCCACTTGTATATCTGAGAAAGCGTGAGACGCCGTTGTGGTGAGCGCAGAATGGCCATCCCGATAAGCGTTGCATAACTGTGATGAGGTTTCGTTCCATCGTCTATTATCGGAGGGAACGAGCCGGGCTCTGGCACCGGTATAGGCTCGCCTGTATTCTGTTTCTTCGCCGGCCTTGATTCCTTATCGGACGTGGGTGAATCAGTCAACACTCGTTTGCCGGAAGGTTTCTGATAGAAATTCTCGAGGGGTAGGTTGAACTGGGTCGGCGCCGGGAACATGGTCATTTGCGGGCTCTGGTCTACAAACTGAAGGTTGGTGAGATCCTGCGCTGGGGGCTTTGAAGCAACTGTTTTGAACCTAGACATGGGTTGTTGTTTGTGCAAAGAATCAGTCGACGGAGCCAAAGCGCCAGGCGGGGGCATCTGAACGTGGTTGAGCTTCTTCTGACCCTGAGGGGGTTTGGTAGGGGCAGAGGAAGAATCTGATATCCGTGCGTTTGCCGGCTTCAAGGGCGATTTCTGCAGAGGCGCCATGGTACTTGGTGGTTTGAGCATGACACTGTTGCTGTTGGCAGGCTGGAGAGGGCGACGAGGTGGTTTTGCTGCGAGAGGCATCGGGGCCTGACTGATGACGGGTGTTGTCTGGTCATACAAATCGTCCTGGTAGATCTGAAGCGGCTGGACCGCCCCATAGCGAGCTTGCTTTGCCATCATGGCGGCTGTGGGTGTGAGGTGTTCCGGAACGGGAGAACGAGTCCAGGGATGGAGGCCGGTTCAGGAACAGGCAGATAGCAAACAACGAGTCGGTGCTAACTGTTCCTCGGCACAGCGGACACTGGAGGTTCGGCGATGGTGATATTGCTGTCATGCGCAGGCTGATTTTCCGTAGCAGTGGGCCTGAGAACTTTGAAACTGGACCGGGGTGATAGTTGAATTGTGCTTTTCCTTGGAGCCACTATGTTGCGACTGAATGTTGGCTGGCGAATAAGGTTGTCGCCGTCAAGTTGATTGCGAACGAGTGTCGGTTTGTGAGGTAACACGTATTTCGATGTCGTCGGTAGGTCAAAAGCCAAGAGAGGCTCCGTCGTCGGTCCCTTGATGATCCTGAAGTGGAAGTATAGAGGTAGAAGGAAGCTAGTCCGTGGAGTTAGATGTAGGAAGGTGGAAAGTGGAACAAGAGGCACTGGGCTGGAGCCGTCTTTGGGTTGGCGGGTAGTATAAGTGCCGGCGTAATGGTGAGAATGGGCCAGTCCAAGCGGGCAGGTGGGAGAAGGACTGGACTGGGAGGGAGGACGAGGTACAAGATGACTGGCCAGATCGATGGGCACTGGCTGGCTGGGCTGTGAAAGAGCAGTGTCCGTGGCCGGGGCGCAGTGGACAGTGACAGGACTGGCTGGGACACTGGCACTCGCACTGGCAGCGACTGGCACGTTTTCGGCTTCCAAGATGTCGTTCTGGGTGTCTGAGCCTGGCTGGCAAGGGACAGTGACAGTGGTAAAAGATTCAGGTAAAACGGTTATCGTATAGATCGTCGTTGCGGGAAGAACAGGCACAAGGCGATCGTCTCCAACTGAAGCGAAGCAATGGGATTTCCTTTTCTTTCAAATTGGTGGCCGTGAAGATGCTAGGCGAACAGTGAAGCCAAAAGGTACAAAGATAATTGATAAACGTGCTCGTTTGTATCATATAGACTGTATCATGGTCAAGGTGACCGTGATGCAAGTGGTTTGTAGATGAGGGGAGTGTACACTAGACAAGCAAAGATGTCCACATTGGGGAACGAAAAGATGAACACAGGTGGAAAAAAAAAGAGAGACGGGTCTCGACGGTTCCAAGGTTGCGACGGGCAGGCGAGAGAGAGACGAGTACCTATTAGTGATGCCACTGACTGCCAGCTCACACCCGCTGTTCCAAGAACGCAACCAAGTGGAGGCCAGTCCAGGCAGGGAGGGCAACACGATGACACATGATTGGACTGGGCTCGGGAGACTATGGACAGGGGGTTAAAGTGGTGGGCCTCCATGGGCCTTAATTCATGGATGGATGGTAAAAGAAGACGGCTTGAACCAGTCCCGTCATTCTTGCCCGTGTTTGACAAGACGCAACCTCTTTATCCTCTCTCTCTCCGTTCTCCGTCCCAAGATGCAAGGGTGTGGCAGAGCCCATCATCCATCGTCCAGGTCCAGGCCGAGTAGAGGTAGTACCGAGGGGGACGACAGTGACCCATCTTTCCCTCTTGATCATCTGAATGTCGTCAGAGACATGTCTTGCACGGATTGGGCCAGACAAGGATGATTGATATATGATTGATAGCGGGGACGTTATAAGTATGTAACGATGAGTAGCCGTTGAGGTGTCTTTTTTCCTTCTTTTGTGCAGCACGCGCAGGCATTTTGCTCGAGTTGACAGGCATGTATGTATGTACTGCAACCTCCTGTCAGGCAGGCTTGAGCACATCCGCTAGTCGGGTACTTCCGCTCATACCTGCAAAGCCCATTCTTGTTGAGGAATGTAGGTCCCAACTTATCTTTTACTTCCATCTTCAATTCAATGCCAGATCCTATCTCACGGAGAGTCGACCGACGCCGGGTATGTCGACCGGCACGGAACCGAACAACCGTCGACGGCTACACAAACGTGCCGCAGCGTCAAATGTCCAATCTTTGGCCTTGAATTCTCGATACCTACTTGCTCATCTCGCGAGTAGCACGTTCTATCGATACTTGGAGATCATGGATCATAGGTATTCAGCTTCTTCGGGTCTGTTCAAAGACACCAGGCCCGGAAGATGCCGGCGCTACTACTCCCCCTCTTGGACTTGTCCAGCTCTTGAATAACTGCCCAACTGGAATGTGCACCGGCACCGTGATTCGAGAGCTTCAATTGACTGGCCTTGGCGCGAACTTGCGCGTCCATTTCGTGCTCCAATCCCACATTGGCCAATCAGAAGCGCATGAACGACGCCCAACTGCGGGGGCCTCGAAGGGGGGCCTACTTCAAGTACGCCATGTACCTAAGTGCTTGACCTTTCGACTTTCAACACCACCACTTTCTCCCACTCGACAAACGAAATCGAGATTTCAGTTCTCACGGCTGGTCGCAACTGGAATGCCATGATGATCAGGGGACCCGGCCGTTCCAATGCTCTCAACATCGGACTTGGCATACCGGTCCCTGCCAAGTGGAATGAGAATCCAAGGGCCTGGAGGCCCGAGTAATGGGGAACGACCTTCTGTTGAGGAAATTAGGTGACATCATCGGTCTTGACCGTCACTCCCTTTGCAGCACACAGGAGACGGTATAAGACGATTGACCGTGGGCTATACGAAGGTATACGCTTGATCCGCTGTCGTCGCCATCTTCCGGCTCGTCACTCGGTCCGATCGGGGGAACGGACAAGACAATGTGTCTTGCACTTTCATCCCTTTGTCTCTCCTTACACTTCCTCACTTTGGACCGCATCTCTGCTCGAGCACTGGAGCGCGGTTTTGCATCCGCACAAGCCTCTACCGTCTACGTGACAGACAAGTGATGCCGCAATGCATGCTCATATGTCGATACGCATACTGTGTAGCGGCTCGCTCCTTTTGGGCTGCAACCCCGTTGACTCTGCGCCCGTGCAATTACTGTATACCGGTTGATACAGACGTGTATGGGCTCCTCATATAGCCATGTCATGGACTGTCTACTCGCGAGCCAAGTTCAACAGCAGCAGACATCACTCAAGAGATGGGGAGTCGAGATCATTCATGATGCCCAAATCCACCCACCTACCCGCCCTAGGCATGCAAGAACGATATCCACCGCCTCCACCACCTAATGCAATCCGAGCAGCTAAGGTATGCAACATGGGGGAATGACGGGTACATATGCAACCACTATATGTACGAAATTCCAGGGCTCGCAGAAGATACAATACCGTCGCCTAAAGTGAACCCGACGAAAGAGGGGACAGGATCAACACCTCCACCACCATGACGATCGACCACGAGGGGTTCGCGATGTTCAAATCTTGCATACATAGATAGTCGATAGCTACAACCTAGGTAGTGTAGCTCGCCGTTCGACCCCAGGAAAAAGATACAAGCATCGCACCATTTCCCGCAGTGAAACCAAATTCTGGACTACTTTATCTACCCAAGAACTATATGAGATCCAGTTCTAGAAGAAAGGCCGACAAATGGTCGGAACTCGGTTTGAGAGCACCCCCTCAAGAATTGAGTCCAAGTCCATCTGAAACAATGAAGCTCTGAACGTCCTCCCCACCCATCCACACACACACACACATACATGCACAACAACAGCACAGCATATGCAACCCTCTTTTCTGGACCGACGCATCTGCGCATCTGCGCGAACACATCCCAAAAGTCAAGTTGCCTCTGTGGACTTTCTGTCCACTTACACTCGATACCCAATCACATGTTAGTAGCGACTTTCAGCACTTTTTCAGCAACTCACATCCAGTCAACCAACGTGTACAAACCTATCATATCATAAAAAAAAAACCCAAGAGAAAGGATACTGCAACCTATGGGCATCTTCTCCGTCGACATCTTTTACCTATCCTTCTGTCTATCTATCTCTACCTATCTCTACCTTTGTCTACCCACCCTCTCGCTCTCTCGTCCAGTCAGTCCTCTTCTCGCTTCCTTCGAAGCCTATTCGTTCGACGACTCGAGGATTCGTACTCGGTCCGTACCCTCCTCCACCAGCCTTCATCTTTATGCAACCACTTCCAGTGCAGTTCAGTTGATTTGCAATCTTGGTTTCGCCGTTACTGGAGGTACCTACAGTAACACCAGAAGCCCCAGCGAGATGCAACAACGATCTCCCTCCTGAATATCGACTTGAATACATAGTAACTCACTATCGCGGTACGTGTAGAATGTAGACAGTAGGTAGCTGGTCGAAGAGGGATGTGTACTGAGAAGATATCAACCAACCTACATGCGTCGATAACCTAACCCAAACTTCCGCGCAAAATTGCTGTTTGACAGGATATACCGAACATTGTTCCGCAATTAAGGCTGTCAGTCATTGCAAATCTGAACTAAAATAGCAGACGAGCAGAGACTAGGTAGATAGGTAGGTAGATAGGCATTAGAAATAAGTAAGTAAACGGAACCAGCATAGCCCCGGCGAATTGCGCGGCGACCGACATCATCATATCGATATGTCGTATCAATACAATATGCAAAACGGAGAATAAGTCCGCAAGCCATCCATCATATGCAGTCAGTGAGTGAGCGCTTGCTCACCTTACAAAGTCAAACTGGAACTGATTATTTACACTTTCCAGAGATACTACCGAACTTCATCAGCTTCCAAAACTCTGGAAACGGTAGGTACAGTTCATCTGATCCATCCCCACGCAATCAATCCACTTGCTTCTTCAATACCTCTCTTTATAGCAACCACATCCATATCTTCTCTCTCTCCTTATCTCTGCTGACACAATCCTCAACAATCAAGCCCAAATTAGAAAACAACTGAACGACCTTGAAGAGATAGATGAGCGGTAGATAGGGACAAAGAAAAAACCTAGAACGGTGTCGAAAAAAAGGAGGGAAAAAAGGAAGGAAAAAAAACATACAACACCTGGGATTCGCTGGTCGTCACCGACCCAACTACTAGTCAGGCCCTCACTGGCTTATCTATGGGAGAGCGGACGGGATCCCGAGTTTTCCAGTGGGTATGGTCGTATGTGATTGTGAGTTGCAACATGAGGAATTATATTGTCGAGAAGCAACGCAGAGGTATATAAAATGAGATGGGTTGAGTGAGGGGTACAGTGGTTGTGGTGGTGGTGGTAGATGAAACTGAACTTGTTGGGTCATTTCGAGTTCCGCCGTTTGACGTTCGTACGTACGTGAATAGCAATGGTAATGATGTAGGGGGGGTTATGAAGCTCTGCTCTGTTGAGGCAAGCATTTCACAAAACCTTAGTCATAGAGCTCACTGCGCCCAAGTCGGGTCCGTTGCAATACAAACTAGGGTCCGAACAAACATGATCAAATACACTGGATTCAACTAATCTGCGAAAGAAAAAAAAGGGAATAAGTCCTCGATCGACAGACACTATACGGCGTCTCGATAACCAAAGAGATTAGAACTTGAACAAGTCCAATGTCCTGAAGTAGGTAAAGGTAGAGGTAGAAGTGGATGTAGATAAACCAAGACTCGACTCGATGCGTGCCCTGTACCCATCGAGTTCGTGTGTGAATGTGTTCCATGTGTACGTGTCTGTGTGTGCCTGCGTGTGCGTCTGTCTTCTCCATCCATATTCTTGTGTCTTCCCAACCACCCTTGTTCCAGTCTCTCTCCCTCTCTCCATCTTCCTCTTCTCCTTGCAACCATCCGCCTTCACTGCACAAAATCTTCGGTCTCTTTCTGTCCATCCAACATTTTTGTTTCATACAACGCCTTCTGCGTAACCATCCACCATGCGCGTCCCCAACCACCTCCATACCATACCTTCTCCTTCTTCCTACATCCTTTCTACCTGACCTGACCTGACACAGCAGCAAGCTAGTACAACTGTACCACCACCGCTCGCATCCGAGCCGCATGAACCCCTAACTCCCGCATGACCATCTTCCCATTGCCACATACGCCACTGGTCTAAGACAACGCCTCAATGCTAGAGCACTATAGACATCGCTTAGTCGAGCACCCGGCCGGCAACAGCAGCTTGGCTCTTGTCCTTCGTCTGCGTCTTCTTGAGAGCCCTGCCGGCTTGGATCTCTCCAAGGAGGCCAGCGGGTCTTCCAGCAGGAAGAGAGGGAGCAGGAGCACCACCAGGAGGAGGGGGTGGCGGGGGAGGAACGGCACCAGGAGCGGGAGGGGGACCCGGAGGAGGGGGCGGGGGAGGAGCAGCAGGGGCTCCGGACTCAGGCATAGGCGGAGGAGGAGGAGGCGGCGGGGGAGCACCACCGCTGGGAGCAGGAGGAGGACCCGGGGGAGGGGGCGGAGGAGGAGGAGGAGAACCAGCAGAGGGCTCCACTGGGGCCGGAGGAGGGGGAGGCGAGCTAGGGGAGCTCACAACCGGAGGAGTGCTTGCAGTAGGCTTGTCACCGGTGGCGGATAGGGGACGAGGAGGCGCCATGGTACCAAAGAGAATGGAGGCAAGCGCAGCGGCGCTATTGCCGCCCGGTCTGCCCTCGTCATCGGAGTCCTCATCGTCCGAGCCCTTCTCTGAGCCCCAGTCATCATCATCATCATCGTTGGGACGACGTCTGCTAGGCATTACACCACTAATAGCATCGCTAATACCGCTGACAGCACCACTAACAGCGCTGCTAACAGCAGCAGCTGGCGCGGCGGCTGCCTGCGTCATGCGGTGAAACGGGTTAGTCGAGACATCGGCCTGCGGAGGAGGCGAAGCGACTGGTGCGGCAACCGAAGAAGTAGATGCTTCAGAGGACTGGGACATCATTTTGAAGTACGGGTTGCGACTCTCCCTCTCGGCGTTGGGGCTAGTCGTAACGATCTGGGGAGGCGAGGCCACAGACGCCGGGGCAGGAGGAGGGGGAGAGTTGGGCTCCTGCTCGTGAGTGCCGACTTGGCTACCACCAACAGTAGGAGTAGACGCCTGGGGAGTGGTTTGCTCCGGGCCCTCGTCGTCGGAAGAAGAGCTGTCTTCATCGTCGATCGCTTCGAGTTGCTTGCGGAGCTCCTCTTCACGCTTACGGGCGGCCTCGATTTCGGCACGGCGAGCAGCCAGCTGGGCCTCCTTTTCCTTAGCCTCAGCCATAGCAGCCTTCTTCTTACGCTTCTCCTCTTCCTTCTTCAGCTTGCCCAGACGGACTTGCTCTTCCAGGGCCTTGAGACGAGCGTCAGCTTCCGCACGTTCCTTGGCAAGTTCGTCTTCTTGGGCCTTGGCGCTTTCCCTGTAAAACATCATTAGTCGCAGTGTAAATGCAAACGCGTCAATGTAGACAGTGACTTACTCCAGCTCACGAGTTTCACGCTCCTGCTCCTCGCGCTCACGTTCCAGGCGTTCTTCCTCAGCCTTCTTAGCGGCAGCCTCTTCGTCGCGTCTATCATCAGCCTTACCGGCCTTTCTGCTCGGGGGCGGAGGGGGCGGGCGAGAATCGGCCTTGGGAGATGCGACAGGCGCAGGCCCGCCCTCCTCTTCAGCCAGTTTCGCTTGTCCTTCGGCCTCACGACGAGCATCTTCCTCTTCGGCCTGACGCCGCTTCTCAGCTCGCTCAGCCCTTTCGCGCTCAGCTCGCTGAGCGGCAGTCTCACCCGGCTTACCGGGAGCCTTGAGTCCGAGAGCAGCAAGGCGCTCAGCCATGCGCTGCTCGGCCTGCTGCTTGATGAAGGCAGCGCGCTCCTCTGGTGTTTTGTAGGAAGAGTAAGAACCGCCGCCAGCAGTGGAGGCCGGGGTAGATGTCCGCGAAATCGACGGGGAAGGGGTTTCTACGCGGGCAGAAACGGGGGCCTCAGCCTTGACAGGTTCCTGGGTGGCCTTACGGCCGCCCTGGCGGTCCTGAGACCGAATGCGAGCGGCCCGGCTTTCCCGCTGAAGATCGAAGATGAAGTCTCTGACCTCGTCTTCCACGCCAAGGGCATCCTCCCAGCGACGCTTCTCGTGTTCAGAGGTGGAATCCGCAGCACCCTCCTTGAGACTATCTTCAATACCCTTGGCGAATTCGCGGACGCTATCTTCAACGTCTCTGACCATGCGCTCGTTGTTCTCTTTTTCAGTCTTGATTTTGATGTTCTCATCTTCCAAGCGCTTGGGGGCATCGGCATCATCATCACCGATATCGATCTTCTTGCCCATCAAGGCAGCTGTCCGCTGCTGCATCATGGCCTTCGCACGGGCCTTGATTCTGTCGGACTCGGTGACCATACCACCCGGACCAGTACCGACAATGGCGGCGGCGCTGTTAGGATGAGCCTTGGCATCCTTGAGGCGGAAGAGCTCAAGTCTGGCGTCGGCAATGGCCTTCTCAGTCTTCCGAACCTGGGACGCAAGCTCTGGAATTCTGTCAGTAAGCTGCTGCAGCTGGCGCTTGAGTGCGCGTCTCTCGGCGTCAGAGTCGGCGCTCATCAGCTGGGCATCTGGATGATTGTCAATGTCCTCCTGGATTCTTCGGATACGGCGGTATAGTTCATCGGCCTCGCGGCGGTCGCGTCTGTCCAGAATGTCGTCCTCCTCCATGTTCTTCTCATCGTTGAAATCCATGGCATCAAGAAGTACCTGCTTCTCCTTGATCTTCTTACGAAGTTGCTCAATAGTCAGGTCATCACCGGAGTTACTGGCCGCCGGAGATTCGGGACGAGGAGACGTGCCCATGCGACGGCGCGCGCTGGAGCGATACCCCACCTCCTCATCGTTGTTCTTGAACACGGTAGCATCCTTGCGGTTGGCCCCAGTGTTCTTGAAAGAGTGGCCTTTAAGATAGCTGACGCCGGTCTTCTGGGGCAGCAACGAGGCCCCAGTATTTTTGCGGAGCTCGGATTCCTGATGAAGCATGTTTTTGACCATACCGATAGACGCACTGAGGTTTCTCGCAGACGGAGGAACAAGCTCAGGAGGAAGCTGGTTAGGAATAGGGTAGCCGTTGAGCTTGCGGTAAATCAGATGCATGGCCACCGCAAATTCATCCAAATCCAGGCGGCCCTTGTTTCCATTGTCGGCGAGGGTCCAAATGCGCTCAAGATCAGGCTTGTCCAAGCCACTTTGGCCAAAGATCTCAATAGCAGCATCGCCAGCGATGAAACCTTTGTTCAGACCATCCCAAGCCCGGAACAGAGCATCGTACCTCGTCTTCTCGTCCTTGGTGATGGCCCAGGGGATAACGGCATTACCTTGAAGTCCGGCCGTAGTATAATTCCGCTGTTCACGTCCCAGTTGAGGCATCATGCGAGCCTGGAGCGCATCGATGAGAGGCAATCCGGTGGCAGGCGTATTGACCAGTCCCCATTGTCCAGGCATTCCAGTGGGCTGAGAGTTGAGAGGAGCAACCATGCCGCCAGGGCCAGCGTTAGGCGACAGACTTGAGCCAAATCCGGTCGGCATGGGAGGCATGGGAGGCATAGGACCGGCGTAGCCAGTTGGCTGGGGGTTCATTCCCGGGAAGCCAGTCTGCTGGGGTTGAAGGCCCTGGTTCTGACCCATGAAACCGGTTTGCTGAGCAGGAAACCCAGTCATCTGCGCCTGGAGAATTGCCGAGTTTGACGGCTGGGGCTGGGGCTGGGGCTGTTGAATGGTCGGAACGGCCGCCGCATTCTGCTGCGTAGCAAAGCTGGGGGCGTTAGATGCCGGGGCAGAGCTAGAGCCCGCATCGTCGGTGATACTGAAGTTGATGATGTCCACCATGCTCGAAACCTCATTCTTGATATGATCAGGTAGGACGCTAGGAAGTGCCTTGCCAGTGATCTTGAGGTTGCAAAGGTACATGGCCAGGGCAAACTCGGGGAAGTGTAGCTGCCCAGACCTTGTGGTATCCGCCAATGTCCAGATTTGTGATAGCGAGTCTCCATCCAGCTTCGACCGCAGAAGAAGATCCCTCGCCTTTTCACCCGACATGGTAGTCTGTCCATCTCCCACAGCCGACTTGAAAAGCGTCTCGAACCTGGCCTGGTCATGCGCCGTGATGAAAGACAGGCGGATGTTGGGGATCTTGACGGTGTTGGTCTTCTGCTCGGCCCTCCGTCCCTTGCCCCCAGCCGTCTGGAAAGAGGCGGCCATCTCAGAAAAACCCGTGGCCTGGGGTTTCACGGGCGGAGGAGGGGCGATGCCACCCTGGGCGGTCGGGGCAGGCTGTTGAGCCGGCGCTTGAATCTGTACGGATGGGAACCCAGTCAGCTGGGGTTGCTGAATCGATGGTTGCTGCTGCTGCTGGAACGACTGCTGTTGCTGGAACTGCTGGGGAATCGCTGGGACAGGAGGCATGCCGGTTTGGAATGGTTGCTGTTGGGGCGCTTGGGGCTGGAAGCCAGTAGCCTGAGGCTGGAAACCGGTGAACTGTTGCTGAAGCTGAGGCTGTTGCTGGGGGGCCTGCAACCCCGGGTATCCCGTGAACTGCTGCTGGAGCGGCTGTTGTTGTTGCTGACCATAGCCGGTCGGTTGTGGACCAAAGCCGGTAGGTTGGGGAGCGAACCCGGTCGGCTGCGGCGCAAACCCGGTCGGCTGAGGCTGCATCGGGCCCTGTTGGCCAAACGGACTCGGGGCGCCGTATTGTTGCTGTTGCTGCTGCGGCTGCTGGCCGGGACGAAGGCTGTTGGCGCCCCCGAGGAAGGCATTCGAGTTCGAGTACATGATGGGCGGCTCCTCCTCGTGTATATTACTAAATGCAATTCGATGGCCCTGGTGTCGGGTCTAGGAGTATCGGACGAGGAAGAGAGGGGCTTGGGGCTGCGGAAAACGGACGCAGCAACACCTGATACACGACGAGGGGAAAAGGGGGTTCAAGGAGCGGAGAGGCAACTGGCGAAAGAGAGGCAGCAAGCTCCTCTTGGTCGGCAGTCACGGAATGGGGGTGACGAGTAGTTGAATTAGAGTAGTGATTATGGTGTAGATAGACAAGATGCAAATGGTAAGTATGGAATGCGATGCGCCGTGGAAGCGCTCGTGTGATGACGACGACGACGACGACAGCACTTGCGGCGGTCGGGTGTTGTTGTTGTTGCGTGCTGTGTCAGGGTCAGGGTGGTCAGTGTCAAGTGTCCAGCGTCGGGCGGGCAGGCAATCAGTGCGGTGAATCGATGTCACTCCCCAACCAACCTAAACACCAAGGACTGGACCACCACGCCCCGTTCCTTGGTTGGAGCCACTGCAGTTGGAAGCGGGAACTACACTAATAACATGGAAAATGAGCAAATGGAGCTGGAATACCATATGGTCCAATGGATGCTCTCCATTGCTTCTCTTTTGCTCCACCTTTTCCATGCTCACGGCAGGCAAAGAAGCAACAGCGAAGCTTCCAAGTTGTATGTAGTGTAGACTTCAGGAACGGGCGGACTGGGCTCGCTAGTAAGGTGCTTGGGCCACTCTAGCTACATATGTATGATCCGTGCTCGGGCCGCGTCGCTGCCACGTGACAGTCTCTTTCGCTTCCCCTGAGCACAGGCCATATGAAAGAATGAAGCTTCAACTACTGAAAGAAGCTTGGGCCAGCTTGACTTCTTCAACGTCGACGCCTCCAGGCCGAATCACCCCTAGCTGCCAAGACCCGAATCCATCGGCCGAGAGCAACGTCGGCGGGCTGGCCTGTGCGGCCGAATGGAGCTCCCCAGACTATCGGCTGCTCGGTCACAAAATTTTCCAGACAAGCATTGAGGTCCCCGCGCGTTCCCTCCCGCCGCCGCTCCGTTCAACGGGCAAAAATAGCATGGTCGTCCTGGCTTTCTGCACGGAGTCGGGCTCCTCACCACACCTCATCGCCATGGATTCCGACCTGAAGCTGCAGAGGATGACTCCTTTTATTCCCAGCTCCAGCCAGCCCGGTGGAGACAAGGCCAATCACATCATCGCTTCGATGGATAGCGTTTGCGTGTCATCTTGATTGATATGACCGTACCAGGACGTCGTGTACATGGTGTAAAAGTCCAGAGTCGCCGATCACAGTTTTCATTGGGCCTGTGGTCCCTGAGTGGTGCTGATGCGGGCAAAAACCGGAGCACTACAGCTGGCATGATGGCGTCCAGTGAGTCTGTCCCTTTTTGACCGACTGGCAAACAATCAGAAGCTTCACAAAAGCGTCGAAAGATTTGTGGGTTGCGGCAACATGCGCCCCACGCCAGTACCCCCGCCTCCTGGTCCCTGATGCTGCGAGTGCAAAGATTTGAGTTTGGCGCGCCATTGGCGACTGAGACGGTAACCCCTTGCCCAGTACGACCCAGGCCCCCTGGTGAGCCCCGCGATGTTCATTGTAGCTCGAGTAAGGTATGTAGCCCACAATCGCCCGCAACAACCATCAACAGATAGACACCCCTCATTGCCAATTTGAAACTTCAGTTTTTTTGAGCGCCGCGCGAGAAGTAGTGTATGTACGGAGTTTCGTATGGAGGCATGGAGATTGTTGGAGTTTCAATGGGTCAATGGGGGGCGAGATTGACCAGCGCCGAGTCGTTGTTCGCCTCCTGGGGCTCGCTCGCATGTGCAGAGAAGTGCAGAGCTGCAGAACTGCAGATGCTAGAGGCACAGCAAGCATCAAATTCAAACCAGTCAATGCCATCCCATGTCGCGCTACCCCGCCGACAAAAGAACACATCAAAAAATCTAGACAATACCAAAATGCCCATCCTCCATTGAGATCTGCCAGCTGTCAGCCCGCGTGCATTTTGTTGAGCTGTTCCGTCCATGGCAGTCATTGTTCGTGAGAAAATCCGGCCAAAGAGAGGCGAGGAGAGCTTGAGCTAGGGTGGGCGCCATGAGTGAGGTGGAAGAGTGAGCCCCACACCGATCACGGCCTCCAGCTGTCCACGCCCAGGCTCCCCAATTCCTCCCAAGGCGGGCCAAGGTCCGAAAATCAGACTAGGTCACCGCACTCGAACCCCCCCCCCCCTCCCGGTCTTCCACCCATCCAATCCAACCAGCCCACTTTGACTCGCGCTTCCTCCTCTCGTCTCTCTGGCTGCTTCCCTCTCAGATCTCCCCCTCCACTTCCTCGCTCGGTCCCCTCACATAAATAAACTCGGACCTCCCCCTCTCTCTTTCTCAGAAACTCCTTCCACCATTCCTCCATCCATCCTGTCCTCCTTTTCCCCTCGCCCATTTTTGCTCTTTGTCCCAAGAGCAGTCGCGAGGTCCTTTCTATACCCCCCTAATCTCCGTTTGTTCACACAATCACACATCACAATGGTCCAGTCATCGGTTCTGGGTTTCCCGTAAGTTGCTCCGGCTGCTATCCATCACACCAATTGGCTCTGGACCGACATCGCTAACATCATGCTCCAGCCGCATGGGTGTCCTTCGTGACCTCAAGAAGGCTAACGAGGCTTACTGGGCTGACAAGATCTCCCAGGAGGCTCTCCTCGCCGAGGGTAAGAGGCTCCGTCTCGCCCACTGGAAGATCCAGAAGGATGCCGGTGTCGACATCATCCCCTCCAACGACTTCGCTCACTATGACCATGTCCTCGACCACATCCAGCTCTTCAATGTACGTTGGCCTCCAACTATAAGCAGCTCCACCCCCATCTCCACTTCCTGGGATTGCGTCAACTAACTGGCTCCACTTTCTACTAGGCTGTTCCCGAGCGTTACACTTCCCAGAAGCTCTCCCCTCTCGATGAGTACTTCGCCATGGGCCGTGGCCACCAGAAGGGTGGTGTCGATGTCCCCGCCCTCGAGATGGTCAAGTGGTTTGACTCCAACTACCACTACGTCAAGCCCACTCTCCAGGACAACCAGACCTTCTCCCTCGCCAAGGACCCCAAGCCCGTCCGCGAGTTCCTCGAGGCCAAGGAGGCTGGTTTCCAGACCCGCCCCGTCCTTGTCGGCCCCGTCTCCTTCCTTGCTCTTGGCAAGGCTGACCGTGGCTCCTCCGTCGACCCCATCACCCTCCTCGACAAGCTTGTCCCTGTCTACGTCGAGCTCCTGAAGCAGCTCAAGGCCGCTGGTGCCGAGTCTGTCCAGATTGACGAGCCCGTCCTCGTCTTCGATCTCCGCCCCGAGGTCAAGGCTGCCTTCAAGCCCGCCTATGAGGCCATTGCCGCCGCTGGTGATGCCGTCCCCAAGGTCATCGTTGCCACTTACTTCGGTGACATCGTCCACAACTTCGACGTTCTCCCCGCTTTCTCCGGCGCTGCTGGTCTCCACGTCGACCTTGTCCGCAACCCCGAGCAGCTTGAGCCTGTCCTCAAGCAGCTCGGCCCCAACCAGATCCTCTCTGCCGGTGTTGTCGATGGCCGCAACATCTGGAAGAACGACTTCGCCAAGTCGCTCGAGATCCTCCAGACTGCCGTCAAGGCCCTTGGCCCTGAGCGCGTCATCGTCGCCACCTCCAGCTCCCTCATCCACACTCCCCACACCCTCGCCAGCGAGAAGAAGCTCCCCTCTGATGTCTACGAGTGGTTCTCTTTCGCCGTCGAGAAGGTCAAGGAGGTTGCTACCCTCGCCAAGGCTGTGACCGAGCCCGAGGCCGTCAAGGCTGAGCTTGAGGCCAACGCTGCTGCCATCAAGGCCCGCACTGACTCCAAGCGCACCAACGACCCCGCTGTCAAGGAGCGCCAGGCCCAGGTTACCCCTGAGCAGCACAACCGCAAGGCCCCCTTCAACACTCGCTACGCCGAGCAGAAGAAGCACCTTTCTCTCCCTCTCTTCCCCACCACCACCATCGGCTCTTTCCCCCAGACCTCCGAGATCCGTGTCCAGCGTAACAAGTTCACCAAGGGTGAGATCTCCGCCGAGGAGTACGAGCGCTTCATTGAGAAGGAGATTGAGCTCGCCGTCAAGATCCAGGATGAGCTCGACCTCGATGTCTACGTTCACGGTGAGCCCGAGCGTAACGACATGGTTCAGTACTTCGGTGAGCGCCTCAACGGCTACGTCTTCACCACCCACGCCTGGGTACAGTCTTATGGCTCCCGCTGCGTCCGTCCCCCCATCATCGTCGGTGATATCTCTCGCCCCGCTCCCATGACCGTCAAGGAGTCCAAGTACGCTGCCTCCATCTCCAAGAAGCCCATGAAGGGCATGCTTACTGGCCCCGTTACCTGCCTCCGGTGGTCTTTCCCCCGTGTCGACGTTCACCAGTCCGTCCAGTGCCAGCAGCTCGCTCTGGCTCTCCGCGACGAGGTTGTCGACCTTGAGAAGAACGGCATCTACGTCATCCAGGTCGATGAGCCTGCCCTCCGTGAGGGTCTCCCTCTCCGTAAGGGTCAGGAGCGTGAAGCCTACCTCAAGTGGGCTGTCGACTCCTTCAAGCTCGCCACCGCTGGCGTCGAGAACTCCACTCAGATTCACTCTCACTTCTGCTACTCTGAGTTCCAGGACTTCTTCCACGCCATCGCTGCCCTTGATGCCGATGTCCTCTCCATCGAGAACTCCAAGTCCGATGCCAAGCTCCTCAAGGTCTTCATTGACGAGGAATACCCGCGCCACATCGGCCCTGGTGTCTACGACATCCACTCTCCTCGTGTCCCCACCCTTGAGGAGTTCAAGCAGCGCATCGAGGAGATGCTTGCTTACCTCAAGCCTGAGCAGCTCTGGATCAACCCCGACTGCGGTCTTAAGACCCGCAAGTGGGATGAGGTCAAGGGTGCCCTCTCCCACATGGTTGAGGCCGCCAAGTACTTCCGTGAGAAGTATGCCAACAAGGCTTAAAGAGTCTTCTCAACTCGACAAACATGCATCTCATATGATGGGGTGCGTGACGTGCTTTTAATTTTTCCGGGTTTTTCTTCAACAGCATTAGCATTCACAGAGGCGGTCAAGGGTTCACTTCACGGATTTACGTTACAAATTATGGGAAAATGATCATGATACCTCCAAAAGCGCCACTTCAACTCGGCGTTCGATACCACAGGGACAAGGGGAAAAACCGGATTTATGATTTCAACAGAGCATTAGCATTTATGAGACGGGGTTGCCGCCATCTCAACACGGCGTTTGAGGGTATAAAAATTGAAAAGGAGACGTGGAACAGGCATGGATACTTCTCATATACCAACGGGACGCTTTTTGCGTTTAATTTATAGAAATGAAAAGGAATGGATTTTACCAAACCATCTTCTGCTGCTATTGCCTGATTTTTTACCAATGTTAATTCAGATGTGTGTGATAAAAGCTTTGGACCACCAGCTAAATGATGCGAACATCCGGCAGTATTTCTTTCTCTCTTTTTTCCCCCCCTTCCCAGCCACAAACCCATCATACCACCGAATTGCCTTCTTGACGGTGGGACGGGTAGAGTATCCTCACTAGATTCTATGCGAATAAGAGATCTGGTGATGGCTTCCAACAAATGTTTTCCCGCTTGTATGTATCAAGTTGACTATGTCCTGATTTATCTTTACAGTCGTTTCCTGTCATGTATTATATTATATACTGATCGTAAATACGGCCGGCCGGCCGGCCGATAGATAGGTACATATCAACACAAATAAGAAGTATACCGGGCTCAAGAGAAGAAGTCCGTCCGGGAAGGTAATAATGTTTCGAATTCATGATGAAAACATATTTCACAGACGCAAAAGCAGACCCGGGGCAAAATAGAAACGCGAGCGAGATTTTGCTTTGCTCTGCTTTGCTTTGCTTTGCTAGCGTTATAAGGCATATCATATCGACAGTTGATGTTGACGGTTTAGTTCCGTAGTGACCTTCAGAACCTTCGGTAGACAGTTACCTACCCACCTACCCATCAGCCCGTCTCTCCTCCACGATACATACCTCCCATCCATCACCGCCTTCGTAACAGGGCGCAACTTAAATTAACCCAGAACAGTAAGTATGCAGTCCAAGCATGGTTGAATCAAAGTTCAAGTTAAAATTGATGTATGCTAGAATTATATAAACGAATAACAACAATGTGTAAAAAAAGACCTTCGTTTTAACGGAACAAAA